GTCCCTACATACACACTCACACACACGTGTGTGTACACCTGTGAACAAATCCTATCAACACCCACCCCAGCTCATTCTCATCCTTCGGGCCCCATCTTGACCAGATTATTAAAATTAGATGCCTCTTCTCTGTCCTGTTATTCTTCATAAACTATTTGTGTCCTTCCTCAATATCTTACCTTTGCCCCAAGTAGAAGATCCACAGATCTTCCTCAACTTATGATGGGGCCGCCCAGCATCACATAAAAGTATTGTACCATGTATTGTTAGCCCAGGGAAAAGATCCAAATTCAAATTTGAGGTAAGATTTCATCCTGAACACATCACTTTCAAGACATCATGAAGTCAAAAAATCTTAAGTAGAACCATCATTATGTCAAGAACCATCTGTGTACATATTCATGTACGTATATTTGATTGCTACCTGGTACCTAACAAACACTCATTACATCTTTGGTGAATGAATGAATGAGTAAATGAATGAAGAAATAAAAGGACGATATCTTGGGAAGTTTTAAGAACAGAACAAATTATCCATCTTGAATGTTTTCGACCAGCAATGAGATCCCTAGTTTTGATCTGAAGAGGAACTATTTTTTATTCTTTAGTCTTATAATTGGAGGCAAGGAGGGTGGTGGGGAGACAGGCCAGGGAAGGGCCAATGGTTCCTACTCTTCTGAGAAAGAAGTAAGGCTTTATTTTCCCCCCCATGCCCCCTGCTTAGAGATTAGCCAGATAAGACCAAAGGATCTCCTTCTTCCTGGGGTAATCGGGCTTCCTGAAGCTGGCGGCTGCTGGGTGTGGGGAGGGATGGGGGAGGCCGAGCTTCTTGCTCTGAATTTCTGATGCTCCAGCAGCACAGACTCTTTTCTCACTTCTCAATTCTCCTTTATGAAGTGTATTTTCTCTGAGGGGAACACCACTTTCTCTGGAGAACTATTAATTCCCAAGGAATAAGCCACTGAAGCCTGCATGGGAACACCCACTCATTTGCAAATTGGCAAAAGAGTCTCCCACAAAGTAGGAGAAGGCTTGATTCAGGGCTTAAAGGAAACAATGGAATCCATTTAACAAAGCCAACATTTAATGAACTCAAAACAGTGTGCTTTAAAAAAATAAGTTAATAAAGCAGCCTTTTAAACTTTAATGCATTCTTACTAGCTTTATTTCTAAAGTACCATCTGTTACCATAGTAAGGGTTTCCTGGTTTGTTTATCATCGTGATTCATCACCTATATGATTTCTGAGCAATGAATGAAAACGTTGATTGGAAGTTTGCAAATGGCAACCCTTCGGTGTCTGGGTCAGCTTTCACAAATCACGCAAGACCTCCAAATAGAACAGATAACTTCTATTGCCTGGCAATTCGCAAAAGAAAGACACAGGAGAGATAAGCTCACCTTTCAGATGAGTCTGCCATAAAACCCCCTTTCCTGGATTCTTTTAAGATTCTGGGAGTGTTCAAATCTTCCCATCAGTTTTGTTCGTGTGTTTGATGGAGAAATAGCCATGAGTCTCAGTGGGAGACTTTGCTTTGGGATCCATCCCCCAGTGGCAGCCCTCTGCCTCCATCGTCCTCTCCAGAAGGGAGAGGGGTGTTGGAAAGCAGAGAGGGGATGGGGTGGGGTGGCAGAACAGTGGGTAATTACCCGGAATAAATAGGAGCCTCCTACCTTTTATCAGAGCAAGTATCAAATACTGTTCAGCCCAAGTACATTTTGTCCTGTTCTGTTTCTTATGCAAATTCAACATCTAGAGAGCAGCCTGCCACAAAAGTTGACTCCGCTTCCCTAACTTCATTCAGCTTGCCCTTGAAAGGAGTATCATATACCTGATTGTTAGGTGGGTCCCCACATCCAAGAAACTGTAGGTGAGATCGTATCATTATAGGGCTTTTCTGGAAATCAAAAGCACCTGCTCTTTGTTAAGGTGGGCTTCTAAAGAGAGATTTATTCCCATTAGAAAATGCCCAGAGTTCATACGGGAATGCTATTGACATGTCTTCCCAACCTGAGGATACCAATCTCAGGTGAATAAACTTAATGGCAGTAAACCTTTACTGAGCACTTACTGTATACAAGGCCTTGTGGTAAGCAATTTACGTGTGTCATTTCATTAGGTCTTTGCAACAGCCATAGGCGATAGGAAGCCCCATTTTACAGCTTTAAAAACCAAAGGCTTAGAGAGGTCACATTACTTGCCCAAGATCACACAGCTGGAAATGTGACAGAGCCACAGTCTCTGATCCAGAACCTGTGCTCTTAGCTACATGTGACATAATTTAGCATTGATGGCAATAATGTATATACTATCCAGTGATGACCCACTCCTAATGGGCTCCCCTCTTTGGATTTCCCAAGCAGAATGAAGCATAAAAATGTCCTCCCTGATGCCCTGACCCTTATAGAGGAAAATAAACCATGTCTATGTAAACCAATTTATATCTTAATACTCTAACACTATGTCATAGATATTATCATATCCTTTCAGGAGAAGAGGAAATTAAGGCTCACAGAAGCTAAGTAACTTGCCCAAGAAACCACAGCTACTAAGTGCTATGGGTGAGGTTCTGATCTCAGGCCAACAGCAGGGTCTCTTTGCCCAAACTGACCCTATACTCCCTCACAGCATCTTGTAGGTGTTTATCAGACATTTCCACTGGGAGACAAGAAAAGTTTTGATTTCCACTGTAACACTTTCCTTGAGAGAACTCTGCCCTTCCAGGTCAGAGACTAGATGATCCTATTGACCTGCTTGGGCCAAAGTTGGCTGAAAGGAAGCCTATACCTGAAGGTGTGAAAAGAATCTTCTTGGAATAGAAACAAGAATCCCAACTATATAGAAAAGCAATAGTGAGTTATCAGTGGTGAACAATCATTATGCCAAATCAGAGGGGCCATTCTCTAGAAGCTAGGCTGCTTTGGGCCTCTGGGACCTGGCTTTCCTAGCACCATTGACTTGCCTGTGTCTTCCCAGTGCATGGTATACTGTTGGGGCTCAATAAATGTTTAAGAAAAAGGTCAAAGGAAGAAACACAGAGTTAGTGCTAAGCCCTAGGAAAGAGAAACTCAGAGAAGTCACACATACTTGTTAGAGTCAAGTGCCTTTTTGGTGCTCAGGAAGTAATGCCTATAATGAACTGTGAAGATCAGTATAAACATGCTGGTGTTTCCAGGCCACACGAAACTTGATCCAAGTGTCTATATATAAAAAAAAATTAATATGTTCTATCCCCCTCCCCTCTTCAGCCCATCTGGCCTTTATCCATAAAATACATGCATGTCCATTATACAATATAGATATGTATCCTGTTAAATCAATCTGTGATGTAACACGTGGTGCTTTTCTTTGAGGGGGAGAAAAAAACAACTCAGGGACATATACATTTGCATGAAATTGTTAGTTGTCTTTTCATGTAATCTATTGTTTATTGACTACTTCACAGTTTACAAGAGCCTTCATTTCATTGCTCTCTCACTCTGTAAGGTAAGCCCAGGGTTATGCCTCCATTTAGAGAGGAGGAAACTGAGTCACAGAAATTTTTAATGACTTGCCACATGGCTACTTCCTCAGTTTTTTTTACACCATCATTGTAAGACATACCAGCAACTTAACATTAGATTTTTAGGAAATAAGGAATCTCTACCATATTACGTATGCACATTGCTTATAAAACACATTGCAGTGTTTCCACAACATTAAATTATGTGCGCTCAAAGGGAGGAATGGGTATCTTAAAACTAAGGAAATGTGGTAAGTAGCAAAACAATGCTTTAACCCAGTATTCTAACTCTGAATCATTGTGTATTGGTGACTTAGCTTCTCAACTACATTATAAAGCCCTGCAAAAGAGGGCATTTTTCTGTACTTTTTACGACTGTCTCTCAAAGGGCTTTATGTAGTAGCTTCCACTGATTGATAAAAGAGTCTGTTTCCTCTAAAACCAAAAATTAAAACAAACCCGGATTTTTCATTCTTAAATTTCTGTGCTAAAAAAAAAAAAAAATCTCAGGCAATATATTCAGAAACTTCTCAGGAGTAGGATTTTATCTGTTGTTTTCAGTGGGATCTTGTTTGGTGACTAAGGATTGAATTATAAGATTGCCTAAGTTCCTTCTTCCAATATCACTGCTCTAGGAGACTAACAAAACTTCAAAACCTGGAGAACTAAAATAAAAAGTTGTTTTCAGGATGAAGTTCTAGAGAAATGCCAGGATGACATTCCAGTTTAGAGTTTATTAAAAAATACTGGGGGGCAGACGGGAATCCCTTAACATGTTTGCATTAATACAAACAACCTATTTTTTGTTTGAGTAGCCATTGTAACACTGCTGAACTTGGGTCCTCTTTAGTTTAAAGTTTAGATAGCCTCCATATAAAAATAAGAATGCAAGAAATAAAGCAAAGAAAGCAAGACATAAAGAAAGAAAATTGTCCCCTAGAACTGTGCAGAAATTAGTTTGCCTCTAATCAAAGTTTTTTTTTGTATGAGGGGGAAAAAATTCAACTTTTTATTCCCATCCTGGTTGAAGCAGTTAAAAAAAAAAAAAAGTTTTTCCAACTCTGTGAAGTCAAAGGAATTAGATTCAAGTGGCTGAACCTGAGCTTCCCATCGGACCATTGTGCAAGGTTTCCCTTTATTTCCCCCCACAGTGGATAATGCATGTTCATTGTGATTTATCTGGAGCCGGTTTCTTTTACACCCTCAGCTGATATAAAGTCGAGCTAGGAATGAGTCGGAGATTTGGGGAGCATCTGGGAGGCAGCCTCTACAGTCCAGAGAGAATGAAACAGTTGGGAACATGAGCAACCACATGTGTCATTGACATTCCCAGTGGTAGGAGCCCCACTTTTTGCCTCTCAGCACAGACAAGGAACCATTAAGAAAGGGGGACAGAATTATGGATCTCCCTTGCAAATTTCCCCCAGGATTGTGTGTGCTGCTTTGTTTTCACCCTTGATTTTAACTTTTCACTCCTGTTTCTGACCTAGAATGATCCAGGCTCAGGCCCTCTGGAAGAACTGTGAACATTTGGCAGCTTGGTTTGACCACCTGGCAAAGAGCGGGTTCTGAGAAGCGATGGTGATGAAGGCCTTTGTCCTGTTGGCTGTCTTTGCAGAAGCCTCTGCAAGATCTTGCACTCCGAATAAAGCAGGTATGCCTTGGGCTAGCCCATCTTCCCCAAAAGGGAAGTTTCCCAAAGACTCTTTGCAAAGTTCAGAGCTCTGTGTTTCTCTTGTTATCAAAATGCAATATCAATATCGTAGCCAAGTAGATGCAGTCAAGCGCGCCAGTGCCAACCAGACTTTTCCCATAAGAAATAACAATGTACTGGAGAAACTTAGACTTTTTTAAAATTAGAGAATCCTAGATAGATGAATGGATAGATAGATACATAGATATAAAAATATTTCTTTTCTTTTTTTCTTTTTTCTTTTTTTTAAAATATTTTATTTATTTATTTGAGAGAGAGAGAGAATGAGAGAGAGCACGAGAGGGAAGAGGGTCAGAGGGAGAAGCAGACGCCCTGCCGAGCAGGGAGCCTGATGCGGGACTCGATCCTGGGACTCCAGGATCATGACCTGAGCCGAAGGCAGTTGCTCAACGAACTGAGCCACCCAGGCGCCCCTCATTTTCTTTTTTTAAAGATTTTATTTTTTTGACAAAGAGAGACACAGTGAGAGAGGGAACACAAGCAGGGGGAGTGGGAGAGGGAGAAGTAGGCTTCCCGCTGAGCAGGGAGCCTGATGCGGCGGGGCTCTATCCCAGGACACTGGGATCATGACCTGAGCCGAAGGCAGCAGCTTAATGACTGAGCCACCCAGGCGCCCCTAAAAATATTTATTTTCAATAAATAAATAATGTATTACAATAATTTAATAAATATACAATCTATTTCCTATTTGACTTATTGAAATTATGTCCTGTGTCATAAATTAGTGTTTCACAATGTTATGCATGAAATGGACATTTTTAAAAGATTTTAAATTATGTGCTCACCTTCATGGGCACAGAAATTTGTATATATTTCTAAATTTATCTATATTTCTAATCCATTCAATCGGGTTTCACAAATACATTCCTTAAAATAGATTAAAGTTGAAAAGTGGACCAGTTTTGAGTACATATTAAGTATAATGTAGATATCCACAGATGTAGCAGAAACTAGAAAACTTCAGTGACTGAGGTTTGGCGAAAACATTCATCACGTTTCATGAAGAATAGTGAGGAAAGTGTTTTCAACCAACTGCTTTGCATGTTCAGGTGTGGCTAGAACCCACTGTTCTTTATGAAGATTAATATGATTACCATATCTGATTTCAAACCATGTGCATCCTCTTTCTAGATGTCATTCTTGTGTTTTGTTATCCCAAAACCATCATCACCAAAATCCCTGAGTGTCCCTATGGCTGGGAAGTGCATCAGCTGGCCCTCGGGGGACTGTGTTACAATGGGGTCCATGAAGGAGGTTACTATCAATTTGTGATCCCGGATCTGTCACCTAAAAACAAGTCCTACTGTGGAACCCAGTCCGAGGTAAGTCCAGGCCACACAACGAGGAGTTGCTGATATGACGCAACTGGGCCCCAAAATAAGATATTTCTGCTGCCCACCCTTAAAGGGATACAGAATTCACCAATTTCCTTTTAAAAGCCAATCCTGACTTTTATTTCCTGGAGTGTTAGTGTTATTTAAATTCTTCTCGTCTGCCTAGTTTAAGTGAGTCTTTGGATTTGAATTTTATTCTCCTAATTTGTTGCCTGAGTGAACTAGGCCACCTTCCGTTGAGTAAAACAATACACATCTCCCACCTCCACCTTGCTTTGAGTTCTGAGCACGTGATCACAAGCTGCCATCTTTCTGGGCTGGATGGTGGGACATCCTCTGCCCAAGATTTTGAAGTAGTTGGAAAGGCACTTTAAAGGAGTAACCAAAGTATAATACAATTCATAATTGGGTCTTGTGAAGTACTTGGGACAGGTAATCAGAATTAAAAGGAACCACATGCAACCTCTTGCCAAATATCCTCAAAGGTCAGAGGAGACATCAGAGACGTCCCAATAAAGTCACAAGCTGGGGGCCCCAGAATCAGTAGGGGTATAGTCATGAAGGGCAGCTGCTCCATTGTTGACCCCTAGCATTCCTGCTACCTTGACTGCAGAAGGCTCTACATACAGGAGATCTCTGAAAATGAGAGCAAAGAGCACCCAAGGCCACTTCCTCTTCCTAAAGGCCCCACGAGGACTTAGTGATTTAGAGAGTCATGGACATGATTAACAGAAACAACATGTCTTTGAGTATCCTGGAAGAGTGAACTAGGAATCATCTGTGTGGTCTTAGGCAGGTCACCTCTCACATAGATGTTCAAGATCCCTTCCAACTCCAATATTCCAATTGGACCCAACTGGATCCAAGAATATTCCAATATTCTGTGATCTAGGAGTTCAACAGCCAAAGGAAAAAGTCACAGAAATAGTGGTCATTATTGGAAGAGGGAAAGAGCAAATATGACATAGTAATAATGTTCTAGAGCCGGGAGATGGGCAAAGGCATTCGTGTAAGATTACTAGGATGGGGGAAATGGATAAAAAGTTGATGCTGGGAAACAGAGATTCTTTCACCAGTTCTTTTTGGTCAGAAGCCCAATGGGTATATGGATCTCTTGTAAGTGTGCAACATACAGCCTAGATTATTTTAAACAATCTTGGTCGAACACATTCAAGAACTCTTTGCAGAAATTCTCAGCTCACCATTGACGTCTCCCCGTGGATCTGACCATCTTCGATCACTTTTCCCAGAACCCTCCTTCTCATCATGGGGTCCAGGGCCACCCTAACTGTCTTCTTCCTTTTTCAGTACAAGCCCCCCATCTACCACTTCTACAGCCATATCGTTTCCAATGACAGCACAGTGATCGTAAAGAACCAGCCCGTGAACTACTCCTTCTCCTGCACCTACCACTCCACCTACTTGGTGAACCAGGCCGCCTTTGACCAAAGGTAAGTTGCTTTGAGGGTGGAGAGCTGGCTGCCTTGTGTGTGTTCTGCAGGCCCTGTCAATCAGGCATGTTTCAGTCCTTATGCAAAATTCTCTCCCCTTTTCAGAGTGGCCACTGTTCACGTGAAGAACGGGAGTATGGGCACATTTGAAAGCCAATTGTCTCTCAACTTCTACACTGTAAGTGGTCTCCAGGTTCTCATTAGTGCCCTGTGGCCTTTTCAGGAGATGAGGGGAGGCTTCCTCAGGGTTTCCTCTTCCCTAAGCTCCCTGCAGAGCCCAGTTCTTGAATTCAAATTAAGACATAAGCTTTGGTCTAGTTTTAAACCTCTTCAAAGACTAGATGCAACAAGAGGGTCGATTCATAGACTGGGTAGAGGAACTATAAAAGGTGTCACAGAGATATAAAGTCAATGTTCCCATCTTCTGATAAAACTGAGGCAAGAGCAATCCTGTGAGTTGTCAGAGGTCAGGAGGCAGTAAGATGGCCAACGTCTGACTCTTAAGCCAGATTAGTTTCCACTGCCACCCAGTCCAGAGAGTTCTATTAGAATCTAGCTCCCGTTAAAGCATTTGGCGCAGAGTAGTGACCTTCCTGCCTGGGACAGAGCTGAGGAGAGAGGTCGGAGTTGCCCTCTGCTGCCTAGTTCTTTGGTATCCAAAGCCATTCAGAGAGTGGGCTTCCTCTTGGTCTAATTTAGGCACGCTGCCTCTATTGACATTGAAGTTAAAGGCACACTTTGGTCTCTCAAAATAAAACTAAATATGCAACAGCCATTAGCCCAGCTGCCCTCCTGTTTAGAAGGGGTGTTTTGTTTTTTTAACCTGCAGCTTCCAACGAGAAGGTGGCTTACTTATAGGGACACTCCAGCTGGCTGGAGGAAGATGCAGGCAGAAATAGAAACTTTTACATAGAGCATTAGAACTGGGAGATATTCTTAGAAGCCATCACGCCCAACCCATTCATTTCACAAAGGAAAGGACTATATTACCTGGAACTCCACTGACCTTGAACTCTTTGAATTTGCTTTACCTGCTGCCTAGAAGCTACCCATCCAGCTGAACTCAGAAAGTGAGAGATCCTCTAGAAGGGATCCCAGAGTCACCTGGTCCATTTTACAGACAAGGATCTGCAGCCCAGAAGGAGGAAATGGTGTGCCCATGATCTCACAGGTAGTGTGGAGCAGTGCCCAGTCTAGCATACGGATCTCTTAGCACTGCTCTCTGAGGCTTACTTCCTATGAAGGGAATGGAGCTTGGGTTTCATGATCCCTCTCTTGCACTAGCCTCATTTAAGGCCCTGGGTCTAATTTCATATTCAAAATTTTGATTCTTTTTATTAAAAAGCGCTCTCTACATTATAGAAATTTTAAGGTCCCAAAGAACCTAGGTCTGCCCCTGACCGCACACCCCTAGTGGTTAAGTTCAGACAAAAGGAATCCCATATAGCCCCTGGGCCTATAATCAGGAGGGTTAATGCAGTGTGAACCAGCAGGGGGATTAAAAGATGGCAACATCATTGCAGTAACTGTTAAAGGTTGTCCAGAGAGAAAAACAGGCTCACTCATCGACAACAGTCTCAGGGGACATCATGGTGTTGGGTTGTCCTTACCAGTGAGCGCCCGTCCAGATGTGCATGATTATCTGGTTATTTTAATCAGATAAAACTATAGACATGCTCCTCTGAGGATTTTATGACAGATGGCTATAGAGAGGCACCAGGATTATCAAAAATCGTCACCCACCATCAGCCATGTTGGGCTAAGTTTCGGGCATATATATCAAATCTTAGAATTGGAAGGAACCTGTTCTTTTTTAAGAAAACAACAACAACAACAACAACAACAACAACAAGAGGTATAGCCTCATCATCACCCAGACCATCCTCTGGGCTGGATAAACAGACTTTCCAGGACACTTCCTTGAGCTGTTCTAGAAATGAGGCTAAGGCGTCCCCTGGGGCCCATCAAGACCCTTCCAGGACAAACAGACCTCAGCAAAGATGGGGTCTGATGTTGCAACTGAAACTTTTGTTACTGATTAATATTCCTACCATGGACTTGGTTTCCTAGGCCTGACCCACGCGGCTGGTATTTTTCTTCTCCTCCCTTCTTCCGCTCTGAGAGCATTCTTGTGTGTTTCTGAAGCAACATCTGCCCCCTGCATACATTTCCATCAAATTACCAGGCACAGAGCTGTGCCCTAGATTGCACAAAGGAATCAATGCACGGCTAATTGCTTAGGATTCCCAGAGCTCCAAGTGCTGAGCTCCAAAACCACCAGTTCTACTCGACATGCTTCCTCTCTTCTCCCTCTGCCCCCTCCCACTCACTCCTGCCAACAGCCCATAGTTGGTATTCCTGGAGAGAAGTCGTTTTGGCCCCCAGTCCAAAATAAAGGAAGGTAGTCAGCTTGCAGAAGTGGACTAGCAGTGTACTTAAGAAAATAGTCTGCCATTGACCCATGGGTTTCAGGTCTAGTTCTACCATTTACTAGTTGTACGACCTTGGGTAAGTTAGTTAACCTCTTTGGGCCTTCATCTAGTCATTCGTTAAATAGAAATAATAATAGCACTTACCCCATACGTTTATTATGAGGAATAAATGGAATTATTTTTATGAAGCACTTACCATACTACCTGGTACAAGGTAAGTGTCTGCGAAAGTAGCCAAATTCATGATCACAGCCTTTGACCCCATATAAAGTGAAAACTCTGAGAGCTCCTAGCACCAGCAGTTACCATTATAGTGTTACCTTTATACCATCAGTGTCAGTATGGGATTAGGTTGACTTTTATGCAATCAAAATAGTATTGACCATTCTTCTTACTTAGAGACCAGGGAAAAGCCTTAGGATAGAACAAATGCAGGCAATAGAGGCAAAATTCACAGACTTCCAAAGTCAGAACAATCTTCAGAGGTGATCAACCTTGACCTCCCAATCAACGTACAAAACCCTTCTGCAAGATTGCTAAGGGGTGGGCTCCCCACCTTTTCCAAGGACAAGGGCAAGTTGGCCTTTCTTACTTTAGGTCAGCATGTGAAATCTGATATCTTGAACTATAGTCCATTGGTCATGGTTCTGTCTTCTGAAATAATACTGAGTCATGATGCTGCTGATGGCCCTTCAACTCTCTCAAACTTATATCTTCCCCAACATCTCCCCACCATTGGTGCTCCATCATCCTATCCCCTCTTCTCTGAGAATGATCCAGTTGGCCACTGCCCCACTAAAAAGCAGAGCCCAGAATTGAAATGTTATATTCTAGACCCTTTCAGGCCTCTGCAGGGCACACTGGGTCAGGGGTGACTTTCTTAGTTCTGAAAGACTCTAGGAACGTGTTCTAGAATATTAGCTTTGTGCAGCTTTCTTTCATTTCTACCTCATGTTGAGCCTGTGAGCAACAGCAGCTCCCATATCTTGCCCACATGAACTGCTGTTAAACCAGATGTACCCATCCTAACAGTGTCAATGGACCATTGTGACTCAATCTCTCCATCAAGTGAAGGGACTGGAAGGAGGTGTTCTTCCCTCCTGTTCCACAAATGAGTAGTTTGTGTGGTGTTTCTATGTTTCCAGGAATGCCAAAGCAAATGGTCCAGGTATTATAGGATGAAGCTATCTGGAAATAGGTCCCTAACTTATGTTATAATGAAAGTAGGAGGAGACCATGCTGAGAATTGCCTTAGCTATAAGGTGAGAAGTGAAGAAACTGACCATTAAAAGTGTTTTGTTTCAGAAATGGAATTAACGGTGCAGATTCTCTTCTCCACTCTGTAACAGAATTGCACTAGTTTCTCTGCAAGTAGAGGCATTATTCCAATATTCTAATACCCCATGGGCTGGTCCCTGGGAGATGGGGCTGGGAGAAGCACCTGTGGCTAGGTTGGGGGACTGCACTGTTGTCCCCAGGTTACGTCCTCCATTTGTAAACAGTCTCATGAAATATGACAAACCTCAGAAAATAATAATAAACAGTAACAACCATTGTAAATCTGCCACTTTAACTGCATAGTAAGTTAGTAAATCACTTATGATTAAGAGCATTATTATTTAATTATTGCAACCATTTACGTGGTGCAGGGGGTTAGCAGACAGGAAGAAAAGAATTGACTTCTGAGTGACTGACTCAGGGAGCCCTAGCTGGACCTGCAATCAGGAAAAAATGTAAGAGCCACTAGAAAATGATTTTAAGGCCTCTCAGCAAATGCCCTGAATTGGACCATTAGGGGGCTAAAGTCCAGTGCAACTAGATATCCTTGCTGACCCTGTTTACCCATTGCAGTTCTGCAAATCTCCAAGTCCATGAAACTCAATCTTCTACCTAGTATCCTGGTTTAAGTTTTATGCTTCTATTACATAAAATCATCATCATAAAAACATTTCTGCAAGGCTGATGAAGGCAAAGGTCACTCCCATTTTGCAGATGGGGAAACTGAGGCCCAAATGTCTGACCTGCCTAAAAGTTAGTGGTGGGAGCTAGGATTAGCCCAGCAACTTTGTCCTTCCGTCATGATCTTTTGTCTCCAGAGGCTAAACTCAGAGAGTAGGTAAAGGTTGTTACTAAAGTTGAGTGAAACTAAGACAATGAATGGAGAAATCAGCCTCCTTTGGGTAGGTCAACTGGACACACTACTATTTTTTTAATAACTCACCTAGAACTGCCTGATGAAGAGACCAAACGAAGACCATACACACCACACCAGTGACCAAAGGCTGCTGATCCGGTGCTCCAATTGTGGTCATGACTCCCTATTGCACTTAGAGTTGCAACCACAGTCTTCTGGATCCATCCCCATAGCCTCTCTCACTTCACCCCTAACCCCCCTCACTTCCTACCTCCCCCCCCACCCCCTTTGCTCGCTCAAGCTCTAGCATATTGGCCTCCTTGCTGTCCTGCCAGCCACACTGTCACCCAGGGCTTTTGCCTTGGCTGGAACATTTTTCCCCCAGATGCCTGCATACACTGTGCACACTACAGAAGCATTTCTTTTTATCAGTACTTAGCCTGGAAGCACAGGCTTCCTAGCTTCCCTCAAGTCTTGGCTCAGATGTCACAACCTCAGTGAGACCTCCTTAACTACATCGGTATTTAAAGTTGCAGCTTGCCCCTCCTTGCACTTCCACCTTACCTTACTCTCCTCTACATTCCTTATAGTTTTTCTATATAATGTACTATATTCTATTCTATTCTAACATATTATATGATTCACTCGCCTACTGTCTATTGTCTGCATCCCTTGCTGAAATGTCAGGTGGTTAGAGATAGAGATCTTTGCTTTGTTCCCAGATATATCTCAATATACAGGGGGTTCTGACATAGAGACCATCTCAATATAGAGATGACCTACTGACACACAGTAGGTGATCGGTAAATTACTGTTGTTGCCTTTGTTGTTAACTGTACTGGAGTCAGATCATACGCTCCCTGACCCAGGCTGGAATCCGCTCAGGCAAATAGTGGAGGTGAGCAAGAGCAAAGCGAGGTTGTCTATGTTTTATCCCTATTCCTGTGGGTGATTAAGTAAAGCTCAGTGCTTCAGCATTCTTGGATTCCACCTTTTTTCCATCAGCCAAATCTTGTTATTCGCTGGCATAGACGAGACATACAGTATGTTTCTCATTGTGACCAGCAAATCCAGAGATGTGATACCCTCGTCTCTTCTAAGATGGCACCAGCATCCTAGGAGGTACAGCTTCTCTACTCCTGGAGGGTCTCACTGTGGTCTCATACACCTGTGCCCTTGGGTGGACTCCCACCACCACCCCACCCCAGTTCATCTGCTCCTGTCACACCCAACTGCTCAGTCTGAGAGGTCGTAATGACCAGTGTCAATTTCCTTCCAAAGAATGCCAAGTTCTCCACTAAGAAGGAAGCCCCTTTTGTCCTGGAGACATCTGAAATTGGTTCAGATCTGTTTGCAGGAGTAGAAGCCAAAGGGTTGAGTGTTAGGTAAGTATGTTTCCTCCCTATTTATATTTTTAAAGCCAAAGAAAAGAAAAAAAAGATCAGCCAAGAGACTTTTGAATTACCAGATGTTTCTAGGCATACAACTCTCTGGCTCAAAGCAATGCATTTTATTTCATTTGCAGGTTTAAAGTGGTTTTGAACAGCTGTTGGGCCACACCATCAGCTGATTTCATGTATCCCTTGCAGTGGCAGCTAATTAACAAGGGGTAAGTACCACCCTCCGGAGCACAGTGCTGAGAAGTGGGGTAGCTCTGGGGCTACTTTGGCTTGGAATGGCTTGGGAAGAAGGGGTGAAGCCTCAGGGTCACATCCGTGACGCGCTCTGTGCTTCCAGACTGGGTGCTGATACTAGCAAACATTTATATAGTGCTTTCTAGGTACCAGGTACTCTTCTGAGAGCTTCATCATGTATTAACTCTTGTACCTTACAAGAGACAGTCATTATTACTACCATCCCTGTTTTCCAGGTGAGGAAACTGAGGCACAGGAGGGGTTAAGTAATGTCACATACTTAGCGTGTGTGTATTTATGGGCAAGTGGGTTTAAACCCAATTAGTCTGACACCAGAACCCTGGTGAGAACTAAATTAGACAATCTGTGTAAAAAGTTAAGCATGCAGTACCTAGTCAGTATCCAATCATTTTAATTAATATCACTGTTTTTTGTTATTAATGCAGTAGATAATTGGGAGTTCTTAAAATTTTTGAATAGAAGACGAAAGTATTGGGATTGTACATAGAAAGATGATTCTGGAAGTCATCCATGTGACGAGTTAGAAGCAGTACATGGAAGGTGGAAAGACCAGATTACAGGTCATGGCCTGAACTGAGGTGTAGCCAAGTGAATAGAAAGGTCATCCAAGGGAGGGAGAGGCGATCAAAACTTAGCAACCAATCAGATATGGGGTGGAGAGAAGGACAGGGCAAGAAGCCTGAGAAATATGTGGCATCAAACCTGTGGGTTGTGAAGGTAAGGAATTGTTTGTTGTTGGGTGTTAGGGAAGAAGATTCTGGATAAGGGTGTTGGATTCTCCTTGAGTTCAGGGATGACATGTTGAGCTTGAGATGACAATTTTCTGGAAACACCTAGAATTGTAACTTTTAAAACAGAGGACAGGTTGAGCTAGACTAGAGATGTAGGCATCATACACACAATGAACAGTAAATGCAAAAGAGACAATTCCCCAAACCCAAACAGACCGCATGCCCATGTTGCCACCAGAACCCTTCAAAGCTAAGTAAACACTGGGGCCTGGGACAAAAATGATTAGATAACAAAGGTGGAGCCACCTTGGACCTTTAACTATTTATTTTTACTTAACAAACACTTAAACAGCACTTACAACATACCAAACGTGTTCTAGGTCAGTGCCTTACAAATATTAATTTATTTAAATTTCACCAAACCCCTATAAAGTAGGTAGTATAATAAGCACTATTTTATACAGGAAAAAATCTGAGGGGTAGACAGGTTCAGAATCTTGCCCAAAGTCCAGAGCTAGTCAGGGGATGGACGATCTGGGGTTCAAACTCAGGCAGCATTATTTCCTGAGCAATGTTGGTAGGACAGGCCAGCAGAACCACATCTAAGCAACCCAGCAAAGCTTCCTGTGGAGATGGTAGCTTAATTTGGATGTCCCACACATATCACTGAAGGTTCTCTTGACAATTTAGGTTCTCTTGGCAATGGTGCAATCAAATGACTTCAGGAAGACTGTGAAATAAATTCTTGACCTACAGGGACCTGAAATTATGATCAGGCAATGGAAACCTCTCTCAGGCATTGGCTACACTGGGGCAAAGTCTCTGCCATAGCTTGGAAACCTCTCCCTGCAAAGCACTCTGGGACTGCGGCTTCCAACTTACAAATGTATTAAATGGCAGGAAAGGGAATGCTTGTGGCTTTGTGGTGGTCTATAGAGGCAGTCCTCAGACTCTAGTGTGTATAGGAATTACCTAGGGTACCTGTTACACATGTAGGCACAGAGTTAACCTACCCCAACAGAGGGTTCCTGGGCAAACCTGAGAACCTACGTTGAAGCAGAGCCAAATTAAAGAAGCCCTCATCTGGTTCCATATTCTGCCTAGCTAAAACGGCCCCTTAAGGTTGGAGATATTTGCACAAAAACCAGTGCCAAGGGGAGGAATGAGAAAGTCCATTCCCATAATCTCCCAGATGCTTTTGGTTCCCACTGGGCCCTTTTGGAAGAAAACCCAGTTTTCAAGAGCGTACTGAGAGGTTAGAAGAGATATATTATTAGGAATTTTGATCTTATGTAGGGAAGAAGACTCCTCTGGTGATGTTGTAAGAGCCTCCCTTGGGCATTCCACCATCCCAAGGTGTCTGTCACAGAGGGGCAGGTGCCATAGCCAGTGCCAAGAGGCAGCAAAGCCAAGACATCTAAGCCTGCCCAGGACTTGCCTCCTCCCCACCCCAACAAAGCTCAGTTTACACTGTTTTCCACTGGCCGACACCACGCCTTGGACACTCCAGCTGCAAGAAGCTATTTTAAGGACTCAGGTCTTGAGTTCGTACAAGGCTCTCAGGTTTATTGACCGAATGATCCTCCAAGGTCTTGTTTCACAACTCGGAAAATGCCTCCAGCTCTGTCATTGCTCAGAGGTCACCACAAACATGGCCAGGCCTCCGACTTTTGGTCCAGATATAAGGTATACTGTTCACTTCTCATTTTAATCACTAACTCCAAGAGTTGACCTTCCTTCAGTCCTACCTCTAATTTGCCCCCTAATGTCTGGCTCTGATGGAATGTGTGGAGGAGGGGACATCTCAAGGGCACTCAGATAGCTGGATGGATTTCTGGTGTGTGTATACTGAGTTGGATTGGCAATGAAGTCAGAGAGAAGCTCTGGGAGGAGCATTAACTTTGGGGTCCACTGTGGTGCTGTCCACTGGTCTTAAGCTTTTGGACCCATAGACCTTTTCCCACAAAGGACAGACCCTGGTGTTCCTTGTCACCTGGACACGACACTCTCCAAAGTTCACGTGGTCCTTATTGTACATTTGTGTCTGCTCCCAACACCTTGTTGAATGTCTGGCACTTAAATAGGGAATTAGCATGTGTTTGGTAAATGAAAAGGTATTTTGATTAAACCAAGTTTTTTCAGTCTCAATGCTGTTGACATTTGGGGTTGGATCATTCTTTGTTGGGGGTGGGGGGCTCTCTTGTGCATTATTGTGTGGTGATGTGCAGCATCCCTGGCCTCTACTTACTACACGTCAGTAACACCTCACCCCTAGTTGCGGCGACAATACCAAATATCTCCTGGGGGAGGGGTGGGGCAAAATCGTCCCTAGGTGAGAACCACAGACTTTGACAAACGCCCATCTGTGTCATTATTTTTGCTTTTATTGTTAATTATTATCTTTGGGACTTTGGGATTTCCCAAATGCTACATTCTCATTATAGAGAATTTGGAAAATATATAAAGATATAGGAAGAAAGCAGAAACCGCCCATAATTCCACCGCTCCATAAAAGCCAGCATTAACATTTAGATGGTATCCCTCCAGTCATTTTTTTTCTGTGCCTGTATTAAAAACATGACCAAATTTTTACAAAGGTAACCATATAACATAGAATTTAAATAACACAACATAAATTCAAATTCCCAGTGGCAAACCCTCACAAGATACACAGAGAAAGACGTGACGTATGACTTGGCTCAGGTGGCTATGGCAGTACTTTGGGAAATGCTGTTCTCAGCACGAGTGTCTTTATCTCGTACACATACTGGAAGTCAGGCCATGTCCCAGTCCTTCAGACAACTTCATCTCTCAGGAATTTCCCTTCTTTGAGACAGAGGTGTGGTGACTTACCTGGTGTGCAGCTTCTCATAAGTCACCCCCCGCCCCCCCCAACTGCCCCCTGTCTATAGAATGAGGACTAGCACACCCATCCCATAGCTCCTCAACTTGACTTCATATCATGAAGATAAGCAAGGTGCTCCCAAGTCAAAGTACTTTGTAAGGATAACACGCTGTATAAAAGCCCAGGGGAGTGTTGCTGTTGTCTGCGAATTTACCTCAGATTTTGCTAGAGTTCATGAGGTAATTTTCTCTCCCCCCTGCCCCATCTGCTCCAGCTGCCCCACGGATGAATCCGTCCTCGTACATGAGAATGGGAAAGATCACAGGGCCACCTTCCAATTCAATGCTTTCCGGTTCCAGAACATCCCCAAACTCTCCAAGGTTTGGTTACACTGTGAGACATTCATCTGTGACAGTGAGAAGCTCTCCTGCCCCGTGGTGAGCCACCTCTCTCCAGAACAAGAATGTGACCCGAGGTGGGGGTGGGGGCGGTAGTTGAGAAGCTGTATTTTTACTGGGCATCATAATCAGACCAGTGTACTTGTGTACTGAGGGCATTCTGGAAGAAAGGGCACTGGGTGTAGGGGCAAACGTCCGGGCTCTGTCCACCCTGCCACCAACAAGCGACATGGTCTGGCACATGCCACTTAAACTCTGGAGCCTGGTTTTCCCATCCTTAAAGACAGTGGTGATAAGTCACAGTGGTCCTTCTCTTTTCAGAGAGCCGTATTAGGTAAAATGAGGACAATAACAGACATGGAAATGCTTTGAAAAAGTTAAAAGCACAAGGAAAATTCAAAATGTTGGTGGTAGCAAGAGGTGCTGCATGGAAGTCAAAAGATGGGTATTTTTAGCTCTTGCCTGGCCAGCTTACGGGTCCATCTCTGAGACTTGAAATGACCCAGAAAGAGGCTGAAGAAATTCCCAACACCCGTTACTGCTGAACTGACTTTGTGAGAGGAAGCGCCAGGCGGTGGGGCCCTGGGGTGACAGCCAAGTTCAGCGCAGCCCAGGCCAGGGGCCAGGTTCCCCCTCTGCACGCCCCACCGAGAAGCTGCTGCAGAATTCAGGTTTCCATGGCAGCCAGGTGTGAACCTGGTCCTTAGAGCAGTGGTTCCACGGTGTGGTCCCCAACAGCTCCTGCGTCACCTGGGAACTTGTGAGGGATGCAATTCTCAGGCTCCCCAGACCGCCTGATTCAGAAAAGCTCGGGGGGGGGCAGAAATCTGTGCTTTAACAGCTCCTGCAGGTGATTCTGAGGCATGCTAAGGCTTGAGAACCACTGCATTAGACCAAAAAGTGCTAAATCACCAACTGTTGCCTGCTCTGGTCTGTCTGGATTAGAGACCCCAGAGAGGAGGAACAGTGTTTCTGAAGAGGACACCTGCTCACGTAGCCCGTGGTAACCAACCGAAAAAAGATTATAATTTCTGTGTCTACTCATTTGTTTTGGTCAGAAAATGATCACATAGGAGCACAAATAAAGGGCAGGGAGCAGACAGATATTTTTACAGTTGCTGAAAGGATAATTATTGGCACTACATTTTAAAAAGAAAAGAAAATGAGCCAGAACACATTTTGCAAGGGTCCACCTCTCAAACCACTGTAAGGCGAGTAACTGTAGGTAAAAGCCTCACTTCTTATCAAAAGAAACCGGGCCAATCCCTCCCACACCCAACAACCTCTCCCAGCAGGGTGTCTTCTAGCTTGAAGAGGTCATAAAGTAAAGCTTTTTCCTTTTAACCAAGCTAGAGAAGAGATGAAGACAGTGCTCTGGATAATAAGTAAGGAAGTAAGTAAGTAAATAAATAGACGGCAGACAAATAAGGTAACTAAGATCTGTTGACTGGGGAATTTTGACTCTACCAAATTTGTGACTTCTTTTTTTTTAATCTCTTGCCTTTCTCCCTTTTCTTTCCTGTGTGCATTTCTCATGCCCCCCTCCTCCACTTCCCCCCACTCCCTGCGGCTGGGGGTCTTCAGACCTGTGACAAGAGGAAGCGCCTCCTCCGGGACCAGACAGGGGGCGTCCTGGTGGTGGAGCTCTCCCTCCGTAGTAAGCTTCTCAGTTTTCCGAATGCTTGAGTTCACGCTGGGCTGCGTCCACAGGCACAGCCGGTTGGAGCATTTTAACTGAATTGCCAAACCAGTTGTGCCTGTAGACACTACCTTCACCTGCAACTCAAGGCTTTTCACCTGGCGGGGGGCGGGGCGCGGGCAGGGGAAGCCGTAGCTCATGCCAAACCAAGAAGTTGAGGTTTATTAACTACCCTGAAACTCTGTCTGCAGCCTAAATTCCAATGCCCGCAAGGAATTAGAATCTGCTGAGCTTCCGGGCAGAGCACGTGGCAAACTGTAGTAATAGACAACGAAATGTACTGGGAACATCTGGTGCAAGTCAACAAAACTTCATAGAGCATCCAGTGCTGGCCCTGGGCTGGGCTAGACACTGGGGTTTCGGAATGAAAGGAGACCCCCGTGGCCCTTGTCTTCAAGAACTCATCTAGCAAGGAGAGAGATGCTAAATGCCAAGGGAAAGGGAGATGACTATCAATGGGGGTGGAGTGCTATGGGAGTTCATGGCAAGGGGATTCACCCTTGTCTAGTCCAGGGCCTAGGGAAGACTTGTGTCCATAATCTTTCAGTATGACCTGAAGAGTGGTATGACATGAAGGGTGAGCAGGGCCCGTGGGAAGGCTGGGGCCTTTAGTAGCTACACATCTGAGAGAACATTTGCTAAACTATGACCAGGGGCCCAATCCAGGCTGTGCCGCTGTTTTCTGGCCTACAAGCTAAGAACAGTTTGTACCTACTTATATGGTTGAAAAAAAAAATCAAAAAGAATGATATTTCATATTTTATGATATATCATAAAAATGATATGAAATCAAATTTCAGTTTTCTATAGTTTTATTGGAACACAGCCAGACGTGTTCATATAAGGTATTGTCCCCAGATGCTTTCATCCTACAAAGGCAGCGCCAAATAGTTGCAATAGGAACCATAAGGCCCATAGCCGAAATATTTATTATCTGGCCCCTTCCAGAAAGTTTACCAACCCCTGCCTTAGAAAGCCAAGGAGAAAATGGTTTTCTTCTTCTTTCAAAGAAGATTTGGTGAACCCCACTATAAACTTGGTCTTAAAGGCAATGGGGGGCTATTGGTTTAATTGGGAGAGGATATAGTCAGGTTTGTATTTTGGAAACATAGACCTGAGGCTCCTTCCATGATGGCTTCTTAAACCTTCAGCTTTCTCTCTCTTCCCTCGTTACAGGCAGGGGATTCTCCAGTCTCTATAGCTTCTCAGGTAAGGAAAAGAGGCACCTCTGGGAAGTGTCATGGGGCAATGCTTTTTAAAAGGAAATGTGTGTTTTAAAAGAAGCTTAGCTTTGGCTCCAGCCAAACCTCTAGGAATTGAAAGCTGCTCTTTAAAGCACACCTGGGTGGGACAGAGCGAGACAGAGGTAAACAGAAGTCTCTCCAGCCAGCCCCCGAGCTCTGCAGGAAGGGTGCGGCTGGGGATAAATTGGATGAAGCCGAATTGGGTTCTACCTCTCAGCAAAAAAAACATCACCAGGGGGGCTTTGCTTGGGTTCCTGCCTTTAGAGATGTGATTTTCAATGCTCTGTTTTTTCAACAAATATTTCCGAGTCCCTGCTGTGACTCTGCCCCTCATTCACTAAATAACCTTGGGCAATGAACTCACCCTTCCACTCCCCAGTTTCCTCTAAGAAATTGGGCCTAATAATTGCTCCTATCATACATGGCTGCCGTATGGATTAAACGTTACAACTAAGGGCACCAAACAATGCCCCGCATACAGCAAACATCCAGTAAGATCAGCCACCGTTACTCTTCTAGGCAGTGGAGCTCCTGCAGAGGGAGAGAGGCAAGGCCTCTGCACTTCCCCGTAGTGTGACTCGTTGGAGTGGGGGTAGAGGAATGATTTAGACAGCAGCCAGGGAAGCCTCTCAGAAGAAACGTTTCAGCTAAGATCCAAGATCTCACCCAAAAGATGAGGAGAACAACTATGTGAGGAGGTGGGGTAAGACATTCTATTTATTAGTAAACTCACAGATGTAGACTTTGCTCTTAGTTACAGAAATCACGTGAACCAACTTTTTAAGACTCTAATCCCAGATCCTCATTTCTGAAGGAAGTCCTATAGTGAAAGCCCAAAGGTGAAATGTGCCATCACTGTGTTACCCATGTTCAGACAAGGAACAGTGCAAGGAACTGACAAAACCAAGCTACAGAAACCCCAAAAGATAAACAGATTTTATATAAAATGTGCAGAGTTTTATGAAAGCCTACTTAATGCCCCTGAGTTGACTCTTCCATTGAGTTAACTCTTTGTTGTGTTGTCCTTGCTCCGTGTGAACTGTTTCTGTCCACTCTCCCGTCTGATTCACAGATGTCCTCTATCACCTCATCGTGATGCTGGGGATTTGCGTCGTGTTGTAGGAGATCGCCAGGCAGGCACGGCATCTCCTCCCACCCGACATCACCTCCTGGGTCCGCGGCGAACTCCCATTTATTGTGCTGCCGGCAAGAACAAACAGAAGAGCATATTGTTGAGAAGCAGAAAGTAGTGCTTTGCCCATTACGTCTCCAATGATTTTTGTGAATCTTAGTGATTGCCTTCGCGCCCCATGTCTTCCTGTGACTTCCTGCGACTTGGCAGTTCCTCTCCTGCAGCTGGTGGAGGAGTCTCCTTTCCCCATGCTCCAGTCAGGGCTGCAGTGGACTCCTTTGAAAGCTATTCTGATTTTAAAAGACTAGCACACCCAACCCAGTGCTGCTGAGCGTTTTGAGGAGGATGTAGGGCATGACCACAAAGTCAGTGCTAAGTACAGAATGCACAGGAATAGCCAACTTTGCCAAGGGGGGGCCTTTGGCATTGATGTTGTGCAATGCTTATTTAAGAACCAGGGCTGAGCCACCAGGCAGGGGTTCCAATCTTTCAAATGATGATGTGGGAATCAGAGTGAAATATAATAGTGTTGCTCAAACCTGAGTATTAGAAAAGGAAACAATTCTTGAGAGGCTGCCAGGGGCTAACCTAATTTGTTTTTAGTATAGTGTTTCTTAAATAGGTATAAACATTATATAGGTATTAACTCATTTTTATAGCTGATATAGATTTCAAAAATCAAAAGAAAATTACAGATTAAATAGGACTAAAGCTACAAGGAGAATAAAACTCACATTAACATAAATTTAACGTCATATGGTGGCACTGCCTAAATGAAACCACTGTTGGCACATGACTCTGGAGTGACATCGGTGACAGGTCCTCTGAAGTCTGTCAACCCAAACCTACTCTACACCTTGTGATGCTCAACACTTTCGCTATTTTTTTTCTATTTGATCCAAGAAATCATCATCTGTGCAGAATGGTCTGACCTCATTTAGTCTTTAACAGTCAAGCATGTGGGCGCCTGGGTGGCTCAGTTGGTTAAGCGACTGCCTTCAGCTCAGGTCATGATCCTGGAGTCCCGGGATCGAGTCCCGCATCGGGCTTCCTGCTCAGCAGGGAGTCTGCTTCTTCCACTGACCCTTCTTCCCTCTCATGCTTTCTATCTCTCATTCTGTCTCTCAAATAAATAAATAAAATCTTTAAAAAAAAAAAAAAAACACAGTCAAGCATGTATCTACCTGTTTTTGTCTCCTTGACTTAACGATCATTAGAACGGAACCTACCAAAAAAAATCAGAAGCACAATGGCAAAAATGGCTAATGGAATCACACGGTGACACACCCTGATAACACCACCACCCCAGTGACCCAGAATGCATGGATGTTAATGACTTACAGGGTCAACAAAATAAAAACTGAATGAACCAATCCTCGTAGACAACTGGGAGAGCCCCAAGAATGCACTGTCAACTCCAGAAGCTAGAATGGGATAGGAAAATCCAGAGCTCTAAGTTTTTTTCTTAGTCCTGTACAGACTTAATTTGTGGGCTCATACTTTGAAAACACATCAGCATGTATCTCTGTGGTTAATGTATTTGAGAAGTTTTGAGATCTGTAGTTTGGTGGGTCTTTTACAACTGTGCTAAGGAACTGAGAAATTCAGCTAGTTCCCAAATTTCTGGAAACATGGAGTACATGTTTGTTTAGCAACAGACTAGATTCAGATGACTCAGCATAGTCTAAACTGGTCTCAAAGCTGGAGCTCCAACCAGTTTGAGATCTCTTCTTCTTATAAATTCAGAATTTTTATAATCAGGAAGGACAGAAGACATATTTTATTGGTTCTAGTCAAAAATTCTTAAATAGCCTACTTAGAGCCATGATCAAATCTTTGTCAGAGTAAAACAATGTATTAGTTTTGCTTTATTTTATCATATTGTTTAATGATCTTCTATCTCCTCCTGGTGCTATGGGATAAATAAAATGCCTTAAAATAAATAACCTATGATTACAGTTTACGATGTTAATGTATCATATTGATAGCCAATTCCTCCACCCTCCCAGGGGTTTCTACAACTAGAACTTCTTCGACTCACACACATACCACAGACTTTCCATCATTCTACCGTACATTTACTTTCCAAAACTCCCAGCGTTTGCTTTCTGATGCAAGGAAGCAACGCCATCCGTATGATCTCCCTGTCTCTAACGCCCTAACGTCTACTACCAGCAATCAAATGTGTTTCAACCTCAGGTGAGCTAAAACCCCTTCATGTCTTCTAACTTCTCTATCAAGGAATTAAGAGAAAACACTCAAAATCATCTCTGTTATAAATTCTCATGAGTGCTAAACATAAAACATATTTAGAGAATGAGGAAAGAGTAGATAACTCCCTTAGGTATCCTTAGATTTTAGGAAATTAATCTTATCAAATTCCTGCTTATGATCCTTAAAGACTCACTCTCTTAAAACGTGAGTAATATAAAGAAAAGAAAATATACAGACATGCATATATACTGAGTATACATACTCACATAGATCTCTACCTATCTCACCTATCAAACAGTCGATGTAGATTTAGATACAGAGAGATTTCTCTGTGTGTATATGTATATAGATACGTATACATGTATGTCTGTGCACCTGTGAATGGACGTGTATGCACCTGTGTGGAAATGTTTTATGTGTTGTATGGATGCCAAATGTTTATTATGCCCAATGAAAAAGGCAGAAGCAACAAAGTCTTTATTATATAAATATAACTTGTATAAGCATGTGGGCTAGAGCTGAAAAGGAACACACACACACGCTCCATACAAATACAAAGATGGGATAATGGTAGACAATCACTATACCCCACCCCATCCCTACTTCAGTGTATCATTGTCTAATGCCTTTTAGATGTAACATTGCACTGCTTAGTTACCTCCACACTTTTGTGCATACCTCTATTAGTCCTTAATATATTGCAGTACTACTTGTATGCTACTTCTCTTCAACTAAACTGAGAGCTAAAGATCAAGTAATGTTTCATGTTCTCATCTCCCCCCAGTGTGGTACCTGGCACAGCGTAAGTGCTCAATAAATGCTCTTTGAATTAATGAAGTGTCATATGGATGGATGGATGGAGGGATGGAGGGATGGATGGATGGATAGGGAATGGCCTATCTCTCTGAAAGACCTCAGAGCAGGGGTCTTTGGACCTCTGGTCTTTGGTCTTTCCAAAAACAAAGTACTTGGAATCCAGACACTCTGCTCCCAAACAAGGGAAGAAATTCTGAAATATAAGAAGATAAATGTTGTCCCATTGTCTCCATGCTGAGGCAGCAGGGGTAGCTCCCCTGTCCCTCTCAGATAAATGCCTTCTTTTGACTAATGCTTTCAAGCCTTGATGCTAAAGGCCTATGGGGAGGAGCAGAGCCTCCCACAATAAAAATGGAATCATGTCAGAGAAAATGGAGTCTATGAAGGTCCTAGAGTTCAGTCGCCCACCTCTGGACAGAAGAAAAGTCTTGCCAATGGAAACACACAGTGGCTCCATGGAGACGGGACTGTTTGTAAAGCACATCCCTTGGCCCCTATTTAGTGGCCCTCTTCCTGAAGAAAGGCAAGAATTGCACCAAATCTTTTGTAAGATTTAGTATTAAAGGCTCTCAACTCACCAAAATTATTTTCCTATACAGAGCTCAAAAATATCTCTACAAAAGCGACTCACAGGTCAAGTAAAAAAAGAAAACATTCCCTATCTCATTGGTTTTCACTTCTTCAGTCTTAGGGAATTCACCAGGAAAGTGTCTCAAACACAACACATCATCCAAACTGCTCTCCCATATTCAGGAGCAGCCCATGAGGAGGATAATCAGGATGTGATGAGTTACAAGGGATTAAAAAAAAAGAGAGAGCAAGAGAGAAATACTGTTAAGTGCATTACTGGTTTAGTCAGTCTGCTACAAGAACCACTGACAGACATGATGGAATCCTATTCTCTGTGTAAAGCGGGAAATATTCATAGCAGAATGGATGGGTTCATCTTGGTCTGCTGGAGGTTGCAAAAAATTTAGCACTTCATAAATCAATGAAAAAGTCCACTTAAAATTCAAGCCTTGATTGAAAGCAAAGCCTATCTTCATCCCTTTGCTTTGGATAGGAAGGAAATTAAGCAATAAATTGAGAGTGGGACATTTCCATTTGGAAACTGCGTGCTCACAGGAAGTCAGAGCTCAGGACCAGGCCTTCCAGGGACTGACTGCCCTGATCCAGTCTACATGGAATGGCCTGATCCTGTTGGGATTTCAGTGACTGTTCACACCTTAGAGCTTTATCCCTGGGAAACATTGCTGAGATGCCTTCTGATAACTAAAGGTTAGGGAGCAGCCCCTGGAAAAAAGAAGGCAGGCAGGGTGGGGCCAGCAGCCCCAAGTTTTGTCCTCTGGGTTTCCTCTCTCCCAGAATGAAATTGGGTTCACTGCAAATTCACAAGCTAATGGGCCGGAAATATCTGGCAGCTAGGGCAAGTTCACTGGCAGGTCTGGGAGCAACAACCCAGCTCTCGTCCCCCCAGGAAATGAGTTCACCCTATCCAGCTCATCCCAACTCCACAGAGCTCGGGGGGTGGGAAGAGGAGGCCAGCTAGATGGCTCCCCCTACTGGTAGATTAACTCAATACCCCAGATCTACACCCCCTGCATGGGATATTTAATGCATCTAACCAAATGGCACTCAGACTTTTATGGACCCCACAAACATCTTTAAAGAAAATACCTCAGAAGCTCTCTGGGACTTTAGCTTCTTCCTCAGTAAATTCGGGGAGTGGAATAGTGAAGGCTTATTTGCCTTTCAACCAGGAAGTTGTTTGTTCTCCTTTCCCCTGTGGGAGTCACAGAGGAGGAACGGCTGCCCATGAAGTGTGCCCTCTGAACAGATAACTTGGTCTCCCTTGCTTGTTGACTGAAAATGTTGTTCTTAGCCAAAGTGCAATTAGGCAGGAGCAGCCTCAGTGAAGGGAAGGCCTCATTATAGATGAAATCTTGGTTTCCTTGGGCTCTGCTGGTAGGCATAAATGGATAGTCAGCAATGGCCTAGGGGGTGTGGGCCTGTCGAGGCTGAATTTCGCTGCAAAGGAAATCTTTTAAAAATAATAATAAAATCTATGAGCTCGTCTGATTAGTAGAGCATCAGGTGAAGCACCTCATATACATGTTCACATTTAATCCCCACATCTACCCTTCAAGGGCAATATTATCACCATTCCCATTTTACTGGTGATAAAACCAGGCCCCCAAATAAGACAGCCAGTAAAATTCAAAGCTAGGTCTATGCTGGTGCCTTCTAGAAAAATCTTCCCCTTACCTGAATTCTGTTGATGAAACACAGTATGTTCAGTGTCTCCCAACAGACAGTACCTGGGCATGGTGATTCCAACCACACCAGCCACCACAGGACCCACAAGGAGAACAGAAGGGTGTAGCCGATCTGCATTTTCCAAGGGCTGGACTGCATGATGCACGTTAAGTCAGTAAATGCAATTCAACAAATATTTAAGTGCCCTCTTCAGGCAGAGCTTGGCAGCAGATCTTAGGGTTTACAAAGAGGCAACCTACAGAATCCACAGACTTCTGGTGGAAAACCACATATTCAATTATGATGAGCTGAATGTTTGTAACCCCCTCCTTCATTCACTTGCAGAAGCCCTGACCCTCAAGATGATGGTATTAGGAGGCAGGGCCTTAGGGAGGTACTTAGGGTTTAGATGAGGTCCTGAGGGTAGGGCCCTTAGAAGAAGAGGGGACACCAGAGCGCTTTCTCTTTCTTCGCTATGTGAGGACATAGCCAGAAGGCAGCCTTTGGTGAGATTAAGAAAAGGGTCCTCCTCAAAACCGACCATATTGAAACCCTGATCTCGGACTTCCCTGCCTCCGGAACTGTGAGAAAATAAATGTCTGTTGTTTAAGCCACCCAGTCTGTGGTATTTTGTTATAACAACCAAGCTCAGACAGAAATTAATGATGATGTTATTCATGCACTAGAGATGTAAACAAAGGAACTGCAGCACAAATGTGGGAGTAATTAATTCTGATTAGGGGCCAGGTCTTATTTTAGTCAAGCCTTGGAGGACAGACAGGTAGGAGCAGGTCTAGCTACATAACTTACAGGGAGCAGTCTAAAATGAAAATAAGGAACCCCTCATTCAAAACCTATTAATAAATTATTTAAGAAAGTAAATAATATAAATATTATTAATATAATAATATTATAGTGATAATTATATTAATAATGTTATGATAATATATTAATTAAGAGACTAAGAAGAGCATTAAACCAAGTGCTGGTTGCTTCTGCACAGGTCATGTGCCCATGAGTTTGACCAAAACCAGACCAGACCAAAGGGCATTTGATGCAGAGGCATGGGGGGGGCGGGGGGGGCGGATAGCAGCCCCATATAACCGTCCTGCGTTTCGGTCTCCTCTTAACTTTTGGTTCAACACCTTGGAGTCTCTGGGTGTCTTTGCTGTCACCAAGTAATCTGGCTAGCTGGAAATAGATTTACAGAGACAACGCAACCCTGTTTCCCTTGAAGATGTTACCATTCAACTTCGGGGTCCTAAAACCCTCAGACCCAGGACTTGAATCCAGAACCACCTGCTGTTATACGTGGACCCTAAGGCCCAGTGCTGTCTACCTGTGTGGATGCCAGTCCTGAGCCTGAGCTTCTCCTCAGGCATGTGCCCCATCTGGAAGTAGACAGTGGCACTGAGGATGTACAAGGACATTGTGGCAATCTCGTCCACGTGCTGGATTCCATTGCGGATGGGAAGTCCGCTAGCCACCATGTATGCATCTCCAGTGGCTTCCACCTGAAAATAAAGTAACAAAGTGGCCTTGCTCTGAGGCCCCCCACGTTGAAGAGTCACACTCCCTGACCTCCACTCCTTCCATGTCCCAGCATTTCGACAAGTTTCTGCCCTTATCCTGGTTCTTCCACAAAGCCTTCTGTCCCTGAGCCCTCCTGCACACAGTCACTGCTTTCTCCGCTGAAGTCTGATAGTGGTGGTGACCATATTTCCGCAACTCAAGTTCAAAACCAGTTAAACGGGCAGCAGTGTACGAATGGGGTAAATCTTTTTTTTTTAATTTAATTTTATTAAGTTATGTTAATCACCATACAGTACATCATTAGTTTTGTTTTTTTTAAATTTCTTGAGATGTTTTTCTTTTTTTAAATTTTTTTAAATTTAATTTTATTGTTATGTTAATCACCATACATTACATCATTAGTTTTTGATGTAGTGTTCTGTGATTCATTGTTTGTGCATAACACCCAGTGCTCCACGCAGAACGTGCCCTCTTTAATACCCGTCACCAGGCTAACCCATCCCCCCACCCCCCTCCCCTCTAGAACCCTCAGTTTGTTTTTCAGAGTCCATCGTCTCTCATGGTTTGTCTCCCCGTCCGACTTACTCCCCTTCATTCTTCCCCTCCTGCTATCTTCTTCTTTTTCTTTTTTCTTAACATATGTTGCATTATTTGTTTCAGAAGTACAGATTTGTGATTCAACAGTCTTGCACAATTCACAGCGCTCACCATAGCACATACCCTACCCAATGTCTAATACCCAGCCACCCCATCCCTCCCATCCCCCATCACTCCAGCAACCCTCAGTTTGTTTCTTGAGATTAAGAATTCCTCATATCAGTGAGGTCATATGATACATGTCTTTCTCTGATTGACTTATTTCACTCAACATAACACCCTCCAGTTCCATCCACGTCGTTGCAAATGGCAAGATCTCATTCCTTTTGATGGCTGCATAATATTCCATTGTGTATATATACCACATCTTCTTTATCCATTCATCTGTCGATGGACATCTTGGCTCTTTCCACAGTTTGGCTATTGTGGACATTGCTGCTATAAACATTGGGGTGCACGTACCCCTTCGGATCCCTACATTTGTATCTTTGGGGTAAATACCCAGTAGTGCAATTGCTGGATCGTAGGGTAGCTCTATTTTCAACTGTTTGAGGAACCTCCATACTATTTTCCAGAGGGGTTGCACCAGCTTGCATTCCCACCAACAGTGTAGGAGGGTTCCCCTTTCTCCGCATCCCCGCCAACATCTGTCGTTTCCTGACTTGTTAATTTTAGCCATTCTGACTGGTGTGAGGTGGTATCTCATTGAGGTTTTGATTTGGATTTCCCTGATGCCGAGCGATGTTGAGCACTTTCTCATGTGTCTGTTGGCCATTTGGATGTCTTCTTTGGAAAAATGTCTGTTCATGTCTTCTGCCCACGAATGGGGTAAATCTTGAAGGATCACATGCATCCATCAAGTGGAATTCATCTTGCCCAACCTGAAATGTCCTCACCCCATACAAGGGCTCTTAGGTACATTTATACATATGTATACATTAGACACAATATATATGCTTATACTTACGTATAAATGCATGTATCTGCCTGATTTGTCCTCTTCTCTCCCCTAATAAATCCTAATAAAGTCAGCTTTCAGATCCCTCATTCACAATAGAAAATAAATGACCAGTATGAACTTTAAAGATACAACCCTTTCCAGATGTTTGCATTTTAGCAGAATCCAAAGATCATGTGGTAAAGGTGGGATTTCAGGCATTAGCCAGGCAGTAAAAACACCTCTGTCTATTTGTCACCCCAAAATTACACAAAATCAACCAGTACACAAGTCTGATTGCTTCTAGGCTACCTTTCCCCATCACGGGCACATACATCCTTTAGACACTGACACTGATTTAGTATTAGCTCGTGCAAAACATAGCAGAGAACATAACACCAAGAGGAAACCCCAGAGGACACCCTGCTAAGCAGAGCAGCTTCCGTTTTGGGGTACATGTGACCTACCCTTTGAGATTATCCACACCATCTTTTCTTTCATCCTTAAACAGAGGCATATCTGCGGGGAACACTGGGGGATAACCATTAAGGTTATGTCCCTTGGGGACATGACCACACTGTCCCCCAAATCTCCCTGGCCCCAGGGCCACAGGCAGAGCCCTGCAATCATGGTCAGAACCTGTGGCTGCCCCAGCATGCATGAGCTTGGGCACCCTGAAGTCAGGATCCAGCCCCATCAAAAAACTCAGAAAACATCCAAAGCAGCCATCACCACCACTTGAATGAAGCCAAAGTATTCATTTTTGCTATCCTTCCCCGACAAATCATTTTTTACTATATTCCTACATCTCTCTCCCCCACCCCCGCTGAGGGGCACTAGGCAGATCATTGTTTCTCATTTTAGCCACGAGTCTGATAGTCTACACTTGGGCATCTGTCTTCACCTGCACTGCTAAGGACCACAGTAACGGAAGTGAGACTCACACAGGGTCCGAAGACAACCTTTAAAGGAGAGTAAATGTGAGCCTCTCTGAATACAAAGGAAAGATATTCAGGAGCGAGCTAGAGGATTAGTCAGTAGGAGGTCAATGCCTCTTCAGAAATGTGTTTACTGAGAGATACAATAATGGAAGGAAACAAGGAGCAACTGGTGAATCTTGACAAGCACATGCATCTGTGATTAATCAAGCCCTTTTCCAAGAAAACAAACGGGAATAAAATATTGAGTTTCTGCCATGCAGAGACAGACTGCCAGCCTGAAATAGAGCCTTTCCCTGGCTGACAGCTAGGGCTGGGTCCACCCTCACTCCTGCCCTGGAGTCAGCGGACAAGGAGAGCGTGTCCCCTCACAGCCCGGAAGCCAAGTGTCTCACCTGAGACACATCATATGTCTTAACGATGTGATCAAATAAACTGTACAGGTCATTAAGGAGCTTCACAACTTGTAAGGGGTTGCTGAGAGAACACAGTTTTGTGAATCCAACAATGTCAGAGAAAAAGATTGTCACGGACTCAAAATGTTCCGGTTCCATGGACCTTCCAGCTATGAGCTGTTCTCCAATGAAGCTGAAACCAGAGAATAGGGATCGGTTTTGAACCAACTCTTATTCATTTTGTCTCCTACAAACCCCTGCAGAGTCATCCTTATAGTTCCTTTTGCTTCAATGGATTAGGTTTTTGGTTAACAAAAATTCCATCATCTAAAGGGATTCTTTTGACTCCCATTTCTCCACCTGCATTTTCTCTAAAGAGATACTTTCATTGGTGGGTATAAATTGGAGGAGGGGGGAGCAGGTTACAGAAATGCCTTTACAATAAGGATTTTCTCCCTGAGGGCATCTCATTTTCCCCTGTTGGTTATAGAGTTTGATGGTAAAGATTCAACCTACAGATGTGGGAGGAAAAGTAAGCAGCCACCAATCCACAAATCAATATTTTTGCTTTAATCCGCCAATCTCACATTAACACCTTCAAATCCCCAACCCCAACTCTTTTTCAAGAAACACACGAAGGGCGCTGGAATTAGATGCTCCTGCCAAGTGTTTAAAGAGAGTACAGATGCAATTACAGCCAAAAATGAAGCGAGTTTTGAAACTGAAGTCATGAGCGCATATCATATTGTGCAAAGAAAGGTTTTGGAGCACGATCTCAAATACTGGGGACCTAGCAATTAATCAGACTCATGCAACCAGAGCTCCATCTAGTGGTCGCTCTCCTGTTGCTGCAGCCATAATCTTTACTGTAAGATATTCTCTAGTCCTATGAATTCAAGGGACTTTGCCCCTATCTCCTTTTACAGGCTGTACCAAGTTGCCTGCAAAATGCTTCACTTGGGATTTAGGCCGCGTCCCTCGGCCTCAGAGTCGCCGCAGCCATGGCCAGCCAGTCGCAGGGCATTCAGCAACTGCTGCAGGCCGAGAAGCGGGCCGCCGAGAAAGTGTCGGAGGCCCGCAAGCGAAAGAACCGGAGGCTGAAGCAGGCCAAAGAAGAAGCTCAGGCTGAAATTGAAAAATACCGTCTGCAAAGAGAGAAGGAGTTCAAGGCCAAGGAAGCTGCGGCTCTGGGATCCCATGGCAGCTGCAGCACCGAAGTGGAGAAGGAGACGCAGGAGAAGATGACCATCCTCCAGGCCTACTTCCAGCAGAACAGGGAAGAAGTACTGGATAACCTGCTGGCCTTTGTCTGTGACATCCGGCCAGAAATCCATGAAAACTACCGCATAAATGGATAGGGGAGGAAGGAGCAGCTCTGTGTGCAGATTGGCATGTTCGACGCCGTCATGGAATACGAAGCTTCAGCAAAGCTTGAGTAGTTACATCCTTGTGAAAAGGCATTAAATTATTTCTGTATATCATGTAGTAGGTCCCTTCACTTCTTGGAGAATAGCAAATCTAGCTTCTTTGTACAAACGTAGAGCGTATCCAAAGATTTTCTCCTTTTACCTCATGTTTCTTAGAAATTTAATGTGTATACGTTGTCTGTTTTCCTATGCCTTTTAGTTCAAGCAACATATGTATCAATACTTTTTCTTTCTTAGATGTAGTAAAAAAAAAAAAAACTGTTTAAAGAAAGAAAGGGATTAAATATTTTTTTTCCCTAAAGCTTTCTTGAAGGTCAGGGGCTTTCTCTATGAAAAAGTAGTAAATAGTTACTGTAACTTGTGTGAAGCAGCAGCCGGCCTTATGTCGTCCTTTCGGCTAAGGGTGGAACAGCGAATACTAGTATATATTGTTCGGGCTGCTCTTAGTTTCTCTTAACCAAAATTATTAGATGATAGAATTCAAGAACTTATATACATGTTCTTACTTGGTGTACTGATAATCATTTGAAAGTAAAGACTTTGTCATGCAAAAAAAAAAAAATGCTTCACTTGTTTTAGAAGAACCTGACTTCCTCTTATTAAAGGAACAAGAAAAATATTCTCTCTATGTGGAGCCTTTTAGATAGTGATGCTATTTTTTCCCGGAACTTTGAAAAGCTCCACCCCCACCCCATGCTCTGGAATACCTTGGCAGCATTGTGGACAGAAGCCTATCCACCTTCCTCTTCTCTGCCATCAGCTGGTTGGTCCTCTCTTCCACCACGTCCTCCAGGTGATTGGCATACACCTCCAGCTTGCTCACCATACTGTCTAGGATGTTCACGCGGCTTTAAAAGAACCCCCACATTAACACTTTTCCCCAAGAACTTTAGGGCCACAGTGGAGCACAACTTCCAGCTATCCATTCCAAGATAAGAAAACATGTCTTGCCCTTCAGGTTCCCTACTTCAGGGCTGCCCGTGGACAGCAGTGAAATGACCATGGCAATGAGGTCACGTGGCCTTCTACCAGCTCTATGACCTTGACCTGCACCCTTCATCTCCCTGAGCCTCTGTTTCTTCCTCTGGAAAATGAGGATAATAACACATACTTCCCAGGGCTGTTGTGAGGGTTCAGGGAGATAATGGGTACAATGTCTCAATCTGTGTCTGGCACTCAGCAGGCACTCAACAAATTGGCCTTCCCCCACTTCCCAACATGCTCCAGATCATCGTCATGGTCAGTCAAAAATACAGATTTCAGGACAGTTTTTTTTTTTCTGGATAACACCAGCTGTTTTCTTTTCAGATGACAGATGTAGGGGCACTTCAAGATCCTATAGGCTCTTGTTTTAGAAGCATCTTCAGAAAAATCGTTTCAATTCCCCATTTTTCAGATGAGGAAACTGAGGCTCACATAGGAAGTAGACTTGCCTTAACATAGGAGAGCAGATTTTCTGAGTAAAAGTCATGATTGACCTGAGACATACCATTTAAAACAATTTTGATATAGAAAATGCAGAATACAGGGCTGTTGTGTTAAGAATACACAGCAGAATGGCCAAGTTAGGAGTAGTTGCCAGACTCCCAGCCCAGGGCCCTTCTGTCAACTCAAGCTACTTCTAACATGGCCATGCCTGCATATGCTCAATGTGCCAAAAGATGACACAATTATCCTAATATGAAGCAAGCTACTACTGAGGAAATTGCTTGGGAGTCACGAATAATTTAAGTTAAAGACTTACTCTAAGGTTGGTGAATAGTTTTTTTATCTCATTGTCCAACCCCAACTGATGAGTCATGACCCTTGGAATGCTGGTTCAGAAAACGTTCTGAGGCCATGTCGAAATTCCCTGGGAAAGAGAGCTTGGTTGATTAGTGATATCTGGAACGGACAAAGGAGGACAACGGAAGTGCTGATGTCTGATACATTTTTGTGTCATTTGTAAAACAAAGGGAGAATTTATCACTCTGATAAGCATGCAATAGGGTGCTTTGCATGTGGAAGGCATCGAGTGGGTGGATGATGAATGAATGAAGGAATGGGTGAATGAATGAGTGAGTGGAGGAATGAATGAATGAACGGAGTGAGCCACACAGGAGCAGTCACAGCCATATTGTTTCAAAATTCTAATAGTTAAATGATCAGAAGAAAATGTTCCACATCTCACTCACCCTTTGGAACTGGCTTCTTGTAAAATTTTTTTGATGGACGAGAAAGGGGAACTTTTCTCTGGAGATTCATCCCAACAGGCCTTCACCATGACCACAATCTCCTCATTGCCCTTCTCCTCTGACAGGGAAGATTGAAACGGAACTGATGCCGTGGGGTCTTTGATTCGGCTGATGATTTCTGAAACTCATGTGGGATGTAGACAGCCAAACGTCTGAAAACTTTGGGCCATTCAGGACACTTCAAACATATGTGCTCTTCAATTTGTAAATTGAGTTTTTAAATAAATTGAGCAGATTGGAATGTTGGAGAAATCTGAATATTTTATGAGAAATACTCTGGAACCTCCTGGAAAATGAAGAATCCTACTGTAAAACATATAAGCACCTTCTAATGAATCTGTTTTTAGATTAAGTTGTTTTTTTTTCCTAATAAAACTTTTCTTGAAGTAAAGCATATATATATGTCTATGTGACTTCAGGAGTGTATAAGAATTTGGGGTTGGAAATCCCCAAAGTGCAACTTACACAATTTGTATTCCATATACAATGTCCCATAAAAGTTATTTTAGCAAATAATAAATGTTACCACCACGTGCTGCCTCCATGTCCAACTTTGTAAACCTACTTTCTTTCACTTCTGCATTGACTTCTACTGACATTTATTAAACATTCTGCTTATCCAGGTTTTGTAGAGGAAATAATAATTTGAGAACAATGTATACATGTTTTGGTATAAAAATACTATGGGTGTAATAACATGAATTTTTATTTATTTTTTTATTTGAGAGAGAGAGTATGAGAGAGAGAGAGATCATGAGTGGGGAGAGGGGCAGGGGGAGAAGCAGACTCCCCGCTGAGCAGGGAGCCCTATGTGGGACTCGATCCCAGGACCCTGTGATGATGACCTGAGCTGAAGGCAGACGCTTAACTGACTGAGCCACCCAGGCACCCAACATGAACAAATCTTAAGCGCATATTACTAAGTAAAAAAAGGTAGTCTGAAAAGGCCCCACACTGTGTGGTTCTGTTTATATGACATTCCAGAAAAGGCTGTAGAGGTGGGTACATGATACTGTGTATTTGCTAAAACCCACAGAACTTTACAGCATGGAGAGCAAACCTCAAAAAACACAAATTCTTAACATCAGTTAGGATACGGGACAATCCCAGGATAGGGGCAGACCGTGACTAAAGAATGACTTGAGACCATTAAGACTAAACAAAAGGACCCATTCACAATCACTGTATTCTAGTGGGCACCACTGCTTCTCACGAGGGGACGGAATAAGAACTCTGAAAGTACCACACACCTAGGAGGCGATTGGATACATAAATAAATGGATGGCAAATGGTGGGAGCCAGGATCTCACTGTTGGAAAGGGAGGTTTGGATAAGTGATAGGGAGACTAGAATAAATGAACCATGTGGTAATGATGTTGGAAATGTCAGTATGAACTCATGTTTAGCTTGGTATAGATACAGATATGGAAATGTGTATGTGCACATGCCCCTAGGAGGGGCAGGATGCCACAACACCCCAGCAGCAACGAGCACACCCAGCAGCTAGGTCTTGGTTTCCAATATCATTCTCCAGTTAAAAGAACCAGGGTTTGGGGCACCTGGGTGGCTCAGTCGTTAAGTGTCTGCCTTCGACTCAGGTCACGATCCCAGGGTCCTGGGATCGAGCCCCGCGTTGGGCTCCCTGCTCAGCGGGAAGCCTGCTTCTCCCTCTCCCACTCCCCCCTGCTTGTGTTCCCGCTCTCACTGTGTCTCTCTCTGTCAAATAAACAAATAAAATCTTAAAAAAAAAAAAAAAAAGAACCAGGGTTTATGTACCCTTGACATGATGGGACAAACGTGACAATTTACCTCTGTGGCCTTCCTCCTAAGAAGTAGAAGCCCAGTCTAGTCATGATGAAAAAAGTAATCAGACAAATCCCAAATGAGAAACATTCTACAAAATAACTGGCCAGCACTATGTCATAAAAATGAAGGATAGTCTCTGAGAAACATTCCTAAGGAGCATGGAGTAGGCATGATGGCTAAATGCAGTGGGGTGTCCTGGATGGGATGCTGGGGTAAGAAAGGACACTGGGTTAAAAACTAAGGAAATCTGGAAGCACCTGTGTGGCTCAGTCGGTTGAGCATCCAGTTCTTGATTTTGGCTCAGGTCATGATCTCAGGGTCGTGAGATTGAGCCCCGTGTTGGGCTCCACACCGGGTGTAGAGCCTGCTTAAGATTCTGTCTCTCCTTCTCCCTCTGCCCTTTCTTCTCCTCTTAAAAAATGAACAAACAAAACAAACAAAAAAACAAAAAACAAACAAACCAAAAAACCCAAGGAAATCTGAACAAGGTATGGCCTTTACTTAATAATAACAATACAAGTTCTAAAACTGTGTAAAATATTATCTTGTTTTTGTAAATGTACATACTTGAGTTTAAGTGCACATTTTTCATGCCTAAAAATAATCTGAAAGAAAATACATTAAAAAAATAATCTGAAAGAAAATACATTTAAAAAAAACAAACACAATTACCGTATGGGTTCAAATTCAAATTGTGGGTCTGCCCCTCAGAGTACACATGTCATGAGCTGGTAATGTGCAGCTGTCCTTTAATCGTCAACCATCCATGGTTACTCTACTGTAACTGTTCTTCTTTGGTGTGCATCAGGATGGGGGATGGTGGGCTTTTAAAACACAGATTCTGGGCCCACCCCCACAGTTTCCAATTCCAAAGGCCTGGGGTTGGGCCTGAAATTTTGCATTTCTAACAAGTACCCAGGGAATGCTGTTGCCGCTGGTCCAGGGTTGCACTAGGCCAGTGCCTCTCAAACTGTAGATCTTCAACATCATCTGGGAACTTGATAAAAACGTAAATTCTCAGGCCTCGCCCCAGACCTCCTGAGTCAGAGACCCTGAGGGTGGGACCCAGTAATTCCGTGTTTTAACAAGCCCTCCAGGTAATTCTGACACCCACTAACATATGAAAAGCCCTGGTCTAGTGTGTGCAGAGACTCGATATCTATCCAGTTCCCAGCACCAGGATTGTTTGTAGGGAAGTATGAGGAGTTAATGGAAGAAGCGTGTTTGTCCATAAATTAGGTGCACCTTGTACTTTTCCTGGTTGCAGTCCTGTGTATACATAGTCCCATATGGCTAGCTCTCATTTAACTCTGTGAGCAAAGGACTACAGTGAAGGGCAAACATACCAACTGTATACAGTCTGCCCATCCCCACTGCCACCTCCGCCCCCCACCTCCACCCCAATTGGTGCAATCCCATGGCAGCTGAGCCTGGCGAGTACAGATGGGCTCCTTCCTGGGCTCAATCTAGGAAGATCTATGTAGCTTCTTGGTTCCAAAGTCAGTTGCACTTGGATTTAGGGTGAACCTTTTGGGATTAGTCCACCCTCTATTTCACCTGACCATAGAGTAGAAACTGGAATCCACTTTTATTTTTATTTTATTTTATTTTATTTTATTTATGTATTTTTTGGGGGGATCTAATCTCTTTATTTTTATTTTTTAAAGATTTTGTTTAATTAATTAATTTGTTTGTTTTTGAGAGAGAAAGCAAGGGAGAGAGAGCCTGAGCTGGCGGGGAGGGGCAGAGAGAAAAAGACAAGCAGACTCCCCGCTGAGCAGGGAGCCAGATGTGGGACTCAATCCCAGGGTCCTGGGATCATGACCTGAGCCGAAGGCAGACGCTTACCAGGCTGAGCCACCCAGGTGCCCCAGGAATCCGCTTTTAAAGCAACTACATGCATTCAGAAAGGCTCCTGACTTGAAAAAAGTCTCCAGGGAATGCATGATGATCTAAAGATGAGACTTGAGGCTGGCCCCTGGGAATGGGCTAGAAATGATAGGCAAAGTGGTACAGAAAATAAATCAAGGGAGAAACTTAGAAACTGACACATAAACACTTCCCTGGGCTCGCTCGAGACAGCAGGTCTCACGTGGGCTGCACACTGGAATCACCCGCAAACCCTGATGCCCAGATGGTGGCATATGGCATCAGAATCTCCTAGGCTGAGACCCAGGTAGTAGCAGTTTTTAAATTCCCAGGTAATTCCAGTGTACGGCTAACCTGGAAAGTAACAGTGCTGGGGGTTACGCCTCCTATACTTTTTTTTTTTTTATCAATCTGGATCAAATTTTGCTTTATCTCCCACCACTTCTGCCCTTAATTCCATGACGCGATGTGTGTTAAGAGACAACTCAGCAAAAAAATAAGCCTGAACATATCCTATAAAGACAACTGGGCAGCATTTATAAAAAAAAAAAATTAAATATACTTAAATTATATTTATCTCTTCAATTTTATGTCCACAAAGATACAAGGCTACTCACTGCAGCAACTATAATAGCAAGAAATGGAAAATAACCAGGATGTGTATTAATCAATAATACATGGCAAATCCTTACAATGAAAAATTCTGTAGTCCTTAAGAAAGAATAAAGCAAATTTGTACATACAAATATGAGATGAGAGATACCCAAACAGAAGGAGCAGTGTGTGCAAAGGCTCTGGGGTAGGAATGTGTCTGGCATGAGGGAGGCACATAAGGTGGCCAGCACGACTGAAAGGGGCAAACCATGCGGGATGGAATTAGGAAGGTGTACTGAGCTGAATGGTGGTCCCCAACGAGATACGTCCATGTCCTAATCCCCAGAACCTGTGAATGTGACCTTATTTGAAGAAAAGGTCTTTGCAGATATAATTAAGTATCTTGGGTTGAGGGGATCATTTCAGAATCCCAGGTGGGCTCTAATCCAACGACAAGTGCCCTTATAAGATACAGACGGAGGAGAAGTGTACAGAGGAGGAAGCAATGTTAAGGTGAAGGCAGAGATTGGAGCAATTTGGCCACAAGCCCATGAAGCCCAGGCAGTCACCAAAAACTAGATAAGACAAAGAACAGATCTTCCCTAAAGCTCCTAGAGGGAGCACAGCCGTGCTGAACCTTGATTTTGGACTTCTGCCTTCTAGAACTGTAAGAAAATAAATTTCTGTCACTTAAAGCTAGCAGATTTGTGGTTAACTTATTATGGCAACCATAGGACACTAATAGAGAAGGTCCCCAAGGCCAGGTGGGAGGGCTTTGGTGGTCTTGCAGGCCACTGTTAGGGCTTAGCTTTCATTCCCTAAATGGGAAGCCAGGGGAGGATGCTGTGAACAGAAGTGATGTGACCTAAATCATTTTCCAACAAGATCTCCCTGACTGCTATCATAGAATAAAGTGTGTAATCCCGAGTTCCTGGATTGTTTTTATAAGCAAACTGCAACTAGTTTTTTAATTTAAAAAAGAACATAAACTTTAAAAAGAAAAACAATGGAATAAATCATAAATTAATAAACACTGAATTAAAAAACAAGCATTTGAAAGCTAGCTCACACAACCAAAGCCTGCCAAAGAGGTTCTTTCAGCTTTACCATCTGGTGCTTCGTGGAGGTCCTCAAAAGGCCTGTGGTCCTGGTTGTGGATCAGCTCCGTCATCAGGATGGCAAAGCTGTAAACATCTCCCTTTGGGGTGCCCGACTAGGGCGCCTCTGGAGCCGCAACAGCTCGGGGGCTGTCCAGTAGAACTCTGCAAAGCAACGATGTGGTGAGGGAAGCCTGTGGTGGGAAATGGTCAGGCAGAACAGGAAAAGCCACCACTCTTTCTCAGGGAAGCACAGAAGAATTAAAAGCATCCGGGCCCTGAGAAATCTTCCCAACAGTGCCCGACTTAAAGGGCAAACAGGGAGTGGTGGGTACGCGAATGCAGAGAAAACAATCAGGAAGGACACGCACTCACGTGTTAACTGTGCCTAACACCTGACTGTGCAGTTAGTAGAGTTCTTCATTATTCTTTCCCCTTTCTGTCTTGTCTAGATTTTAAAAACTAATTTATTGAGGTACGATTCGTAGAACATAAAATTAACCATGAGAGCGAACAACTCAGTGGCATGTAGTACATTCGCAGTATTGTACAACCAACCACCCAAAAAGAAGTTCCAAAACATGTCCATGGTCTCAAAGTAAAATCCTGTTGCCATTAAACAGCTTCTCCCTGGTCCCCCTGCCCCCGGCCCTGGGCAACCACCAACCTGCATTCTGTCTTTACAGATCTCTTTATTCTGGATATTTTGTATAACCTACATTTATCGCTTGCTGTGAGGTTTATAGGTTTATTTCATTGTAGGCTACAATCGCTATATATATATATATATTGAAAGATGGCCTAGGGACCAGCAGCACCAACATCACCTGGGAGTTTGGCAGAAATGCAGAGTCTTAGGCCTTGTCCAGATGTACTGAATCAGACTGCGCATTTTAACCTGATCCCTAGGAGATTCTTGTGCACATAGCCTGAGAACACCTGTCCTCCTCTGTGGTTCCACACCCTGGCTGCCCATTAAAGCCACCTGGGGAGCTTAGAAAGAAAAAGCCGATGCTTAGACCCGAACACAAGAGCCTGTATTAGCTACAGATCATGTGCAGTACAAGCCAAGCCTGATGCTAAGGAACCCAAAGCAAGAGAGGGATCAGAATGGGGGATAGAGTCCTCGCTTCGGCGGCACGTATACTAATTGGAAAGAATGGGGGATAGAGTGCCAACGGGAAGACCAAGCTCAGGGTGAGTCACCAAGGCAGAGAGCATGCTCATTTGGCAGGGAGATGGGAGCAGAGTGCACAGATCTTTCCATAGGCAGGTAGGGCTTAAAGAAAGACCAACAATTATTGGAGGAAGACAGAGAGAAGAGATAAATTTGAAAATGAGAGCTGTCACATTTGAAGCAGGATCAGATGGATGGATGTTGACATATCTCTGCGATGTCCCAGGGCAGGCTAGCAGCAGTGATATGAAGGCGAGGGGGACAGGGCTGATTGCATTCCAGAAGTAACCACAGGAGTGCAGGGAGCCAGGGGGGCCCCACTGTGGGTGATCCTGGGGTCTTTATTTTCTTACCTTCCTTGATGGCTTCACCATAAGACATTTCCGTACTATTTATTCAACATTTCCAGCTTCTTGGACTTAGAGTACAGACATAAAGGCTCTCTATATCTTTGATCTGAGTCTCTGAGGCATTTGCAGAATACTCAGCGTGGGAGCTTGTAGGAAGGCAGCAGCCTCAGGACGTCACGGGCATGGGGCTGTCGTGGGGCCATTGCACCTGCATCAGCCTGAGGAGCGCGGGCCTCCTCCCACCTGCCTCACCCCAGAGGTTCCGGAGCAAGAGCGAACATGACCATGTCTCTGTTGAGGGTCTTAATGGATCTTTTTCTGTTTTAAGTTATGTGGTATGTGGTATGTGGTATCAACCTAAGTTCCTTACTTAAACCAACTCATGTAATTCCCCTAGTGACCCTGTAGACGCAGGTGGTATTATCGTCAACCTCATCTTACAAATAAGAAGAAAAGGGAGAAATGACGAATTTCACCTGCACCAGGTCACAGCGCTGGCCTGTGGTGAGGCAGGACTGGGAGGGCTGCAGTCCTATCCCCACGTCCTCGCCCTTGACCCACTGCACAAATGCCCCGTGGCTGACGAAGGAAAGCTCCGAAGGGCAAAGAAAAGGCGTGACTGAGCATTGCACTGAAGCCACAAGGGTCCATGAAAATTCATCCCGAGATCTGGATCGCTGATGAACAAATAAGTAACAACAAACCTTTCTCTGAGCACTTTGTACTATGCACTCTGCTCTCTTCATACGTAGGATCACATCCTGTCTTTCTGGAAGACAGGTTAATGTCCTCATTCTCTGTCTCCCAGTGAGGAAACGCACAGTTTTAAATTGCTCCCAAAGAGTGAAGGCAGAATATAAACCCAGGTTGGGGTGCCTTCAAAGCACAGCCGCTTCTAAATCATTAGATCTCACTGTTTCTGGTGCCCTGGTGACTGATTGTAGAGGAGGAGGAGGGTGGATCAAAGTACACCCATTCTCCTCTCACTGTGATACGGGAACAGCCCAGGTTCAAATGTGTCCCGAGCTGTGGAGGGAGGTGAAGTCACCCACAGGTGTGGTAGCAGGAGGCCGTGGTGGCACTCAGTGTTCCAGCAAGGGGGAATGCGAGGAGGCCCTGAATGGACTCTACCCCCAGGGAGGGGGGCCATGGGCCTCGTGGCCACCAGCTCGGGGACTCCCTTCTGCTCTCGTAGGGATCACAGTCTGAGTCACTGCCCTGCTTTAGCAATACTGGAAGTGCAGGCTAAAGCGGAAAGCAGGATCGTAGATACACCGCTCCCTTTCCCACCCCAAAATTCAGTGTTTGTTTTTTGAGATGATACAGTTACATTTTAGGAACTGTAACCCACTCACCCAAAACTGGAGGGGCCTGGCTGGGGCTGCCTCTGGAACTCTCTAATGAGGCTCCAACAAGCCTCTGGGCTTGAAATCTGGGCCAACCTGTCTCCAATCCAGAATTCTCTCTCATTTCGTGGCGACCTCCCTGTGCAATAGGACTGCCCCTGACGCTCACAACTCTTTCTGCCCTGCTAGTGCCAGGCCCAACCCAGGCAGGAGACCCTTTATTCAGGCACCACTGATTACCCCTGATATCCAGATTTATTAGCAGCATTCATTCCATTACAACATAAACAATATGTTTAGGAATGGTTAAATGTTTAGGAATATAGCCCTCTCCAAGAGATGGCACACATCTCTTCAGGTTTGGGTTTTTTTTTTTTTTCCTATCTTGGTGGAAACGTATGATTTCATATATATTGTCACAGGCCAAAGAGGTCATGATCTCAGGATCATGAGATCCAGTCCCCCCTGGGCGTGGAAACTGCTTTAAGATTCTCTCTCTCCTTTTCTCTCTGTGCCTCCCCCTCTCTAAAAAAAGAAAGAAAGAAAGAAAGAAAGAAAGAAAGAAAGAAAGAAAGAAAGAAAGAAAGAAAGATGAATTAATAGTGGAGTTAATTGCTAATTATTAAGAGTACTGTCCAAGAGAAACACAATATGAGCCACAGGTATAATTTTCAATTTTTCAGTTAAATAGGGGAAATTAACTTTAATGACATATTTTATTTAACCCAGTGTATTAAAAAATCTTATTTTGACACGTAATCAACATAAAAATAATGAGATACTTTAAATTCTGGTTGTTTTTTCTTTCCAAGTCTTTGGATCTGGTGTGAATTTCACACTTAGAGCACCCCTCAATTTGAGCTCGCCACATTGCCACTGGCCAATAGTCCCATGCAGCTGCTATGGTTTGGACAGTGCTGACTTATCCCAGAGGATTGTTGGGGGAATGAAATTTCTTTACAGGATTTATTTACTTACTTGAAAGAGAGAGAGCACGTGTGTGCATGAGTGGGGGGCAGAGGGAAGAGGGAGAGAGAGAGAATCTGAAGCAGACTCCACACCCAGCACGGAGCCCAATGGGGGCTCAATCCCACAACCCTGAGATCATGACCTGAGCCAAAATCAAGAGTCAGACACTTAACTGACTGAGCCACCCAGGAGCCCCATGGGAATGAAACTTTTTAAATGTACAAGTTTTTAGTACTAGTTAGTACTAGTAATCTGTGATAATAGTAATAGTACTGCTCCTACTAACAATGAATATTTACTGGTGCCTGTTATGGGGGCGGGCATGGTGCTAAGTATACTTACTTCTCGAAACAACTCTATTAGGTGGGTACTGCTGTTATCTTTAGTTGATACATAGGGAAACTGAGGCTCAGGGTAGTTAAGTTCACCTGGCCAGTAGTAGAGAGTCAGGGTTCAAACCCCTAAGCAACTTCTATGCCAAACTGCCCTCTTCCTCTTAATCCATCAAGACTTCTCTTACTAAGAAATGAAGGCCCATCCCTAACTCAAGAAGAATATTACAATTTCCAAAGCTCCTTCCCAGGCTGGCTCCGCTGGGTTGAACTCTTTAGGGACAGGACAATGAGCCTATTCCTCTGTGCCCTCCATGCTCAGAATTGGGTCTGAGACAAATCAGGTGCTCAATCAACATACGTTTGTTGACTTAAAAAGTCTGTGGCATCTCAGAATCTCTCTGGTACCTGGTATAGAGAATGTTCTGGTCAAATAGACATCCGGAGAGGAATTGTTTTTATGATTGATATGGGATGGCCAGAAGTGCAATCTGACCCACAGAGTGTGGCCAATGCTTGGGTTCATGTCAAAGTCACCAGTGGGGAAGCTCTGAGAAGCTATAGTGAATTTTTGTTACTATTTGTCCCCTTTGAAGGAATGCTGGCAGAGAAATTGGTCTTAAAGGGCCTAAATGTGCCTTGACCTAACTCACTCTGACTTCCTTATACTGTCCCATTATGTACACACTCCATTTCAGAAGACCGCAATCCTTCTAAAGCAAGGTGTCCAGCTGTCCGGTTTCCCTGGCATGGAACAGTGGATAGACTCAGTGACCCAGAGTGACTGAAGACCACCAGGGAGACTTTCCTTTCAGAGTGCCATTCTCATCCACCCCAGTGTTTCTTCAGAGAAACTTTTGGGTTAATACTTCTTGAAAACCAAATGCCAACTGAAAAAGCTAAATCTATTTATTTTCCATACCTTACCTGGGGAGAACTTACTAGTTTCTCTTCAGAGGCAATATATATGATGTTAGCAGCAGGAGACAGATCCCCAGAGTCTAGAGTACTTCCCTGGGCTTGGTGGGGAGGGAAGGGAAAGGGGGTGAAGGGAAGGAGGGAGGAGCCCAGGGTAGGAGAGGACGCCACATCAGATCCTCCTAATTTTAACCATTCCACCACTTAATTTTACATGTACATTTCCTGACTTTTTTTTTCCTGTAGCTAGATTTTAATCCACTCAAAGATTAAAAACAAGTCCTTGTCCTCCTATGAAAGTGCCTAGAGTAAGGCAAACCCTTAAGAGATGTTCAGTGAAGTCTTACTGAAATACTAACAAACAGTGGTGGCCCAGGGTCGTCTGTGAGGACCTGTTATGGGAGGCTTCCATTGTCTGCCTTTCTTGGTAATGACAATATGCTGGTTTCCCACTAAAGCCTAAGATACCGAAGTCTCACAAGTAAGACAACTTCTCAGAAGTAAAGAGCAATTAGATCCTAGAGAAAAAAAGAAAGTTCTTTGATATCAATCAGACCAGCCTCTTCTCTTAAACCCACATGGAAGCTTCCCCTCCAGTGAGGGGAAGTGACTTACCAAAGTCACTCCAAGAGCCACCAGCCCTCTACTGTATGTCTCACCCTGTGTCCCTCCCAAACCTAGGCCAGGTTTTGCCCAGAGGAGTCTGTTGGTTGATGAATGGGCTGTTGATTGACAGATGATGACCAGCCCTGCCCTGCTGCCCGTGTGTCGGACTGAGGGACTTCCTCACTAAGACCCACTCCCACGTCATTGGAGTGGTCCCCTCTGATGGCGAAAGCAGGCACAGCGAGCTTACAGAGAGCAGCTGGATTGTAGCCAAGGGCGAGGAGGACAGCCTCAGGATGCTGGTCCACACTGACATGGCCCTACTACTCACCTTCCATCTGTAAAGTGGATAGAATGATAGCTCTACCTTATATTTTGTTGTGAGAATTAAATAAGTTAATATACACAAAGTGATAGAAAGTGGGCAAAAATAAGCTCTAAATATATTTTAGCTACTACTACTACTACTACTACTACTGTTATTATTAATATTTTTTTGCAGACACCACAGCCCTCTTTGCCCAAAGTAAAGACCCTGCCTGCTTATACATCTTCCCAGGTCTGCATCCCCAGCCCACCTCTTAGCTCGACAGATTTGTGGCTGTTTTCTGGGGACAGGAATCAAAAACTAGGCAGAAGGAAGGGGTGTTAAGAATCCTCCTCCCCAGCTTGCTTCATGGTCTAGTAATTAGCTTTTCTTTGGGGTAAAAAGTTGCAGCCTGAAGTGTAAATATCTTGCTTCTTCCTGATTGGATAAGCCCAGCACCCCTTTCAACTCTAGTGTAAAATACTTCTCACTATTTACTTGGAATCAGGGAGGGAGAAAAGAATGGGAAATCTGATTGAAGCGGTGAATTTTAGAAGTGGAATCATTTTGTTTGAGGAGATCTGAGGAAGAGAGAATTTTCAGGAAAGATTACAGTTCAGTTTAACCCAAGACACAGAACAATTCAAAAACACTGGTATTTGTTCTTTAAATGAGTTTTACATGATACTTACATTGACTATGTCATATGCAAATGAGAGCTTGAATATCCAATCCATCTCCTTATCTGAGTTTCTCGAAACATTCTGAAAAAACAGTTATTCGAATTATTACCAGTGGCTCCACTGGAAGCACAGGGAGCTTCGCACGTTGAATGGATTTGATTCTAACACATTGGATGATTTCGACCAGAACTACTACACCGAGGCAGAGTACTCGACAGCCAGTACTGGAAATTTCCCAGGAGATATCATAACCCGATTCAATGTTTACAAAGTCACCCGGTCTGGAGTCTTTTAAATACTTCCTTGTTCCTAACATAAAGCTGATGGTCACATACCATGGGTAGGCTGAGTCCAGAAACATAATTTGGAAGTGATTATAATGTCTTAAGAGATGCTAACAGGCTCAGAAAATTTCCACCCAGAGCAAAGGAAACCAGACTGTTGGCAATTCCACTGCTAATCGTATCCCCTGCAGGTGGCCCAACGAGATAATTCAGGTCTTTTGATTCGACCCGAGAGGAACTGTTCTTGGATGAAGGGCAAAACATTGATAAGGTTCTTTATTAGCTGCTACTAATCAAACCCTAGGTAAGATGTACTAGTTTGTTTGCCTTAAGAATCCCTTTCTTGCAATACTGGGTGACAATGCAGATGTTGGGTGGTTCTGTGCAAATACCAAAGAAAGGGACAATGTTTTCGTGCCTTAATTCATACACATGAAAATAATAATAGTAGCTGATGATTACAGTATGTCTCCTGTGCCGGGAGCTCTGCTACATGCTTGACATACATGCAGCTAATTCTCACACAGAGAAAAGGTGAGAAAAGAACTATGAGTGCTCCCATTTCACAGATGAGGAAACTGATGCTCAAACAGTAAAACAATGTGTGGAAGATCATACAACTTCTTAGTGGCAGAGCTGGGAGGTATATCCAGGCAGCCTTCCTCTAGCAAATAAACTAGAGGAATGATCAAAGTCTAACCTAAAACCATAAACCTGGCCCTTCTTCCTGATGTTCTTGGCTGTCAATGCCAGTGGGGAGAGGGGCATGCCAGGTCACAGATCTTGAGCAAGAAATCAGACTCCATGAATCTGACTCTATCCAAGGACCAGGTTCAAGGGAGGTGAGCAGCAGAGAGGATGGAGACACAGAGGATGGAGAGGTAGAATTAAGACCAGAAAAATTAAGGAGAAAGAGCAAGGCTGGAAGGGGTCCCAGATTTCAGGTGCCTTGGGTCAGGCTAAAGGATCTGAAGCCTAATGTCTGGGCTGTCAGGGGATGGGGTAGTGGGCCAAGGTAAGGGAAGCAGCTTCCCACCATTGATCCTGTGGCCTGGGGCATTTCCAGATGAGAACCAGGAGCTGGCAGCAGAGAGCCAGAGAACATCATTACTTTCTCTCGTCCAAGGGCAGGGGCCTCACCAGCCGGATTTCCTGCAGCACAGATGGTTTCCTGACCCAGGCTTTAGCTTGGTCACCAACATGGCAGATGGCCACATGGTTTCCCTGGAATCAGAGACAAAGTGGAATATTCTTAATCTAGATGATCCAGAAAAAGCTCCACTCAGAAAAGACTAGGAAGGGAAGCAGGAAAACCGGCAAGAAACCCACCTACGAAAGGGACCATCAAGCTCCCACATCAGCCCTAGGGCAGCACCTTCATGTAGGCGCTCAGCTAGTTGCTCAACACATGAGATCTCATTTACCAGATGACACAGTCCTGCGAGGTGGGTATGTTTAGCCTGTTTCCAGATGAGATCACTGAGGTTAAGTGACTTGTCCAAGGTCACGCATTGGTAGGTAATACAGCCAGAATTTGACCATCTGCCTCTAAGGGTGCTCTGTTTCTATTATACAGTAATATCTCATTTTCATTCAGAGGAATAGTGAGCTGAGGTCTTAAGTGTAAGTCTGGAATCAGATACCTGGTTCAAGCCTATTTCTACTACTTACTGCTTACATAATCTTGAACAAGGGATTTCGCTTCTCCAGGCTCCCATTTCTTCATCTGTACCATGGAGATTAAAAGTAAAACCCATCTTATAGGGTTTTTACGAGGGTTCAGTCAGTTAAAATATGTAACACTGTTAACTCAAAGCTGGGCACAGATCAAGCTTTCAGTCAGTAGCATATCTTCTTGGTTGTCATTACTATTGAGTTTGCTTTTAGAGAGTCCATCACTCACCACAAATCACAGGACAACCTGGAAAAATTGGCATAGAAGAAGAGAGAGAATCTGGACACAAGAGAAGGTAAGCCTCCATGTGATTTAAATGTCAACCAAGATCTGCCACTTTTAGTATGGGGTTAACTGCAAAAGACTCCGGACTGTGATGGGAGTTCCATGGATGCAGGGACCCCTGCGGGATGGAGGACAGGGTCCTTGGAAGAGGTAATGCTTAAGTTGAACCCCGAAGGACAAGAACGTACCAGATGGAGTGGGGCAGGGGCGGCAGGCATGGCATTGTCTGAGGGCAAAACACACATGGTCTAAGCAGCAAGACCCATTAGGTGAGTACAGGATTTAAGCCAGGAGAAACAATTTTTCTGAAAGTAGGTTGGGTAGAGAGCCTTAAGCCTGTGTTAAAGGGTTTGGACACCATCGTATGGGCAACAGAGGTGGGGACCCCAGTGATGGTGTTTGAGGGAAAGGAGGACAAACATTTCAGGGGGCTTAACCAATACGGATATGCTGTGGATTGTTGGCTGCCATCTCTAAATTGCTACTTGACCATAATATATAGTTTTTTGGGGCACCTGCGTGGCTCAGTCGGTTAAGCGTCTGCCTTCGGCTCAGGTCATGATCCCAGGGTCCTGGGATGGAGCCCCACATTGGGCTCTCTGCTCAGTAGAGACCCTGCTTCTCCCTCTCCCTCTCGCTCTGCTACTCCCACTGCTTATGCTCTTCCTCTCTCTCTCTTTCTGTTAAATAAAGAAATAAAATTTTTCAGAGAAAATAGTTTTGTATTCATAAAGGTCCTTAGCGTTTGATGAGGGATGATATCCAGGATGGTTTTTTGTAGTTGGAAAACCCAAGTAACTATTTAGAAAAATAAGTTCAGTTGCATAAGGAAAGCTTTGGCTCTAATCTTTGCTAAATCCAGTTTAGGGCAAAGAACAAGTCTCCCCTTGCTTGGAGCTTTTGCCCCCTACTCTCCAGGATTTCCATTTCAAAGAATAAATATAGGGGTTTTCTTTCTTCACATATTTTTCACCCAGGGGACTTGAACTTCTAAAGGAGTGAAGACTATGAAACATTAGGGTGCTGGGGAACTAATTTTAAATTTTATATAATTTTAATTAATTTAAATTTATTTAGCCTCATGTGGTGAGTGGGTACCTTATTGGACACTGTCGTCCTAGAGCATGGATTACTGCATCCTTGCTATTCTGCACTGAGGAATCCGTTGTGGGTAATGTTGTCGCTGTGCTAGAAGGACTGGCAATTGCTGAAGCTTGAAGCATAATCCCTACCTGCCTTTCTCAGCCTCTCTCCCACACCCCGGACCGTTACGGCTCCTTTAGAAGTTCAAGTTTGAGAAGCACAAGTCTGGAGTTACAGGACTACCCTGGCTTTTACCTGGAGTGTCCCTCTATTCACAATACCCTGCCAGACAGAAAAGACATGTAGAGAATGGGACAGAGACACACACTAGGACCTAGAGGCAGCCACTTTGCCCTCAGGAGTACCTGGTAAAGCCCTACTGGGGCATAAAAGAGCTCTTCCCCCTGCTGGCTCTTGACAAAGGAACTGGCATCCCCAGAAACCATCACACCAGAAGAATGACTCTTGTCCCCTCTCGACACAGGTGTCCCTCTCTGAGATCGCTGTAAGACAGGAAGCAATTCCGTTGTTCTCAGTAGCATGACCAAGTACTGAAGAGACTGTACCATTTACAGGTGAAGAAAATGAGTGCCAAGGTCACACAGTTAATACATGGGAGAGTCAGGATTCAAATCCTGATCCTCTGACCCAAAGCGTGAGTGCTTCCCTGCGACACGTCCCCCTTGTGTCCGCACCACCACAGACAGTGTCATGGCTCAGGCTCTGGGGTCAGACTGCCCAAATTCAAGTTCTGACTCTGGCACTTACCTAGATGTGTTACTTGATGCCAGAGTCCTCTTTCTACATGAGCATCTAACCACATGACCGCTCTATTTCATACCCCCAGTGCCTCCCCAAGACCTAGAGAATGCGTTTAACACAGAGGAACCTTGTTTTTCAAGGGGAGTCTTACCTGGAAACCTTATGCAGAGACCAGGTAGGACAAAGCAGAGTTGCTTTGGTTGAAGAGGGAAGAAGGAGGCTCAGGATTCTTCTCTGTCACACCTCCACCTTCAATCTATTGTTCACCCCCGGCCAGACCAGTGAGCCCCAGAATCCCCAGGGACATATGAAAATGAATTGCTAATGAATCCCAATCTGGTCTTCACATGTTGGAGCCTCCTTGACTTTGGTACCTCCAAGTCACCTTTTTTTTTGAAAGTCCTAACTCACTTATTGAATGAATAGTACATATAAGGATACCAATAAAAAGAAACGACTACCACAATGACAATTTTGAAAACAAAGCCTATATAACAGGAATGACATATACATAACATGAGAGAAATGTTTGATCTTGACAATAACGTATTCCTCATCTTTAAAGTCAACCTAAATGTCTGTTAGAAAAAAACTGTATACTTTGGTCTACCTTGGTGCTTTTTTTTTTTTTTTTTGACAAGCAACAACATTCTAGAATACTTTTCTTTTGCTTTGAACCATTTAAGATTCATACATCTGTTCAAGTACATAGATTCTTATTATTCTCTTAATATCTTGAGTAGCATGTACTCCTGAGCAAGTACTATCTGAACTTCTAAACTGACTGATCTTTAAAATAAAAGTCATTGCACTTGTAGGTTTTTAATAAATTGAGATAAAGGTAAAAGTGAGCCCCCCTTCCTCTCCCTCTCCCCAGGAACAAAGAGCTCTTCTTAAACTACACAAACCCAAGTCTATCTTTCTACTCTAAAAAACATTTCTCACTAACGTTTCCAGTAGGGCAATAAATGTTCCAGAATAATCAGTATACACTTGCAAAGATTGCACTGTTTAATATTAATAACAAAAACAGAGAAAAAGAAAAAAGGAAAGAAAGAAAAGACACTTCAGAATTCCAAGCGAAAATACGCTAAAGTCATAAGAGATGGTCATAGTAGTATTTTTTGAAATTATGTAAATGTTATATACTTATCAAATAGCGTTATGCTTATTAAATGTGTGCCAAGCCTCCCCGTCTTGAGTGCCCCACATCTTAGCACACCCTGTGTTACTTCTCTCCTGCTCCCCCCTAGCAAACCACTCTTCCCAAATGTCACCTCCTTTCTGAAGCCTTCACGATGCTGAGACATTTACTCTCATTTGCGGGGCTTCTGTCTTACCATGTAGACAGACGTCTCTCAGAGTGCTTGCCTTCCTCAGAAGACATCATTTGCGGTATGTCGCCATGCCTTGCACCATGTTTGGCCTGCAGTCGATGTCTAACTTGTGTGTATCGAGGAAAAGAATCTTAACTGTCTTTGTCATCAGTAGATCAAAGGAGTTAATGTGGTTTTGAAAATAACTAAATGCTGCCCAGGAGACAACTTTATAATGTTTGAACAGGATGTATGGGTTCTTATGCCCACAGGGTAATAGAGCTGAAGGGAACCTTCGGGACCATCTGATCATTTTAAAGTATTGAAAAACTGATGCCTAGAAACGATGTCCCCCAAAGATATTCACCAAGAAGAAATGGGAGGCCCAGAAGCAGAATGCGGGTCTTAAGACTCTGTTAAGCACCCACTTTATAAATAACTTAGCCTCAGCTTTCAGAAACTCCTAGATGAGGTCCCTTCTGGAAATCACTAGCAGTGAGCAGAAAATGGCTATCTGGGCTAGGTGTGGCCTCACCTTGTTCTGGGGCAGAACGGTGATGTCATCATAATTGATTTGCCACCAAATGTCTTTATTTTGCTTTTGCAATTTTCCACTCTGCATCCTTAAAATCAGACCTATGATCACAGCTCCCAGGACAGTAATCAGGAGGGTCATTGTGAGGATCACAGCAGTCACACCTGGAGGGCAGAGACATGTCATCACTACAGCCTGCTGCTGAAGAACCGAAGTGAGCACATCCGGGGTCCTGGCTGGTCCTGCCAAGTAGGTGCCTCAAAGGCAGGGGCCCAAGCTAGGATATACTGGGTCCACTCAGACTTGTCTTTTCCAAGGATTCTTTTCTGACCCCCCCCTCCGGTTCCCATGGCAACTACACTCACCTCCCCCTCTGTATAGAAATGTCCATTGTAGAGAATGGTGGTGACTGAACATTTCCTATGTGCTCTCCTTAGAGTTGTTCTCAGTTATGATCCATCCAACTCCAGGCCTGGGCTCCTAACCACCAGGCAATACTCCCTTGTTCAGACTCTCTCTAACTCCTTAGAAATCAAGTCCCTGAGACTCACATCCCAGGAGCCAGGTTTCCCTGGAGTTGAGGTTCTCTGCAGGGGAGGCAGGTGATGTTGGAGATTTCGGGGGTGGGTGGCTGCAACTAGAGGATGCTGCTGGCTTGTAGTGGGTGGGGGCCCAGGACGCCGCTAAGCATCCTACAGTGCACAGGACACATCCCCACACAAAAAGCATACTGCCTGACATGTCAGCACCACTGCTGCTGAGACCCCCCCTCCCGTGGAGAATCCCTACCTGCCGCCTTCTCCGAGCACCCTCCCTGACCTGTAGAAGCAGGTGCGGGTTCACAGAGCTCACTGTAAAATCCACAGCTGGGTCTGTCTTCAGGAAGGGAGCCATGGGGCCAACGAATCATGGAGAAATTCCTCATGGGTCTTTGAAAAAAAAAAAAAAGACAATTAAAAGTCAGAGCTCGCTTGATTTATTCTACTCTGTCTCAACCTTAGGCATAGCAGGAGCAACTAAAACATGCATGTCATTTGCAAGAAGCAGGCCTTGGTCTCTTAACTGAAACATTTGGTGACCCATCCGATTTCCACACCTCACCTAGACTCTCCAAATTCCCCTGCAGATGATCTAATTCATGGAAGGGCAATATCTTTCTGTCGGGTAAAAGAGCTGACTTAAACTTTTGATTTAAACCCTGTCACTTTTGATTTAAAAATGATCTGCCAGCTCTCCGGGGCTGCTGGGATTTGCTCCCAGGTTGGATATAGACAAATCTTGTTATAGAGCACCTTGCCCTTTCACAGACCAGAACATCTCCCCCAGCGTGGAGAATGCCTCTTTCCTACAACACCGAGGATCTATTTTGCCATCATTATTGCATTTCCTGGGCCAACTTACTTTGGCACTTTAAAATTCCATGAGAGTAGAGAGGAAAAAAGTGTCAAATCAAATCTGGATTAGGGGTGGTGGTGACAGTGGGGACAAGTAGAAATTCAATTAAGGTTTAGGTTTCCTTTCAGTTTTCTCATTGATTCAGAGCTGAAAGAAAAAACGGATTTTTCTAGGGATTCCTAGGCTCGGGAACCCAGAACAACAGCCAGGTCCTGGTGTCCACCAAGCTCTGGATTTGGGAATCAGGCTGCCTGGGTGAGTGGGTTCAGCTGGTTGGGGATTCAACCCTGCAAGGGGGCACTGTATGCCATCACCCCTAGGCCAGGGCCTCCCCCTGAGATCATAGGCCAGTGAGACCTGCCTGGCTGCGGTGTCAGAGAAGGCCCAGGTCCCCGTGGAGGTACACTTGGGGGCGGTGGGGGGTGCTGTGTCCTAAACTGGAATCTGAAGTGGCTGAGCCACACCCACCATCAAGGGCAAAATTATGTCAAAGGCCCAAAGTTGATCTTCATATGAGTTCAGAGAGCTACAGACAACCTGTGTGGTGGGTTCCAGGAGCTGAATCCCAAACTGGCCTCCCAGCAGGACCCTCTCCCCCACCACCACCCTCCCCTCCCAGGTCCCTTCCTGTAGCACCATCTACATGTGGAGGAATGTCCTGCCCAGGACCTGATTACTTTCTGATAGCTGTCATGTTGAAGAAAAGGAAGAAAGAAGGTCCTGTTTCTGGATTTCCGTAGGGCATAGACTGAGTAATTCATGTGCCTTTCTCCCTGGGAGTCTACAAACATGGGGCCGGTGATTCCTGGGAAGAGAGAAGATGCCCATGATGAGGAGGGGAGAGGTGCATGGGGCTGGAAATGCCAGCCCACCAGCTCCCAGCAGCAGAACCTCCGCCTCGCAGCCACCAGGAGCCAGCCGTGAGGTTTTTGCCATTTCAGGGAATCTGAGAAAGGGTCAAGGAGGAGTGTGAGAAAAAGAAGATGATTCAGAGGTCGTCCTCTTGTGGCCCAAAGGCCACTGTGGGCAGGGAGATGTATGTCGTTAGGCCTATGCTGGGGAGCCCATCCAACGTTAAAAAAAAAAAAAAAGAAGTTGTTAAGCAGTTTTTTTTTTTCACATAAAACCCAAGATTTATGCTTCTCTACAATAATCAGATGTGACAAAACGAGGCAGATGACATGCCAGGCCCCAGGCACGAGTTTGCAAACTTTGTTCTTAGTGAGCCCCTTCCCTCCTGGTCTTGGCATTGACATGGTGCCCTGTCCTGGCCCGGGTGTGTTCATTGTCCTTGCTTAGGATGTGCTCAACCATGCACAAAGGACACACCTGCGACTAAGGACACATGGTCCGACATAGGGCTTATTGTTGATTTGTTCCCGTTGGGGACAGGACACAAAATAACCATTTATTAGGCACCTGCTCTGTGCCCAGCACTGCAAGTCCTGGTGACTTCACACATCTAGTCCCAGTGGACCCTGCAGGGGAGGCACCATCATCCACTCCTTAACAAGCAGAGGTGGGAGGCAGACTCCCCTGAGTTTTCAGAGCCAGGAAGAGAGGCAGGCCTACTGGGCCCCAAGGGCCGTGTTCTTCCCGGCAGCCCATGCTGCCTTGCTATGCATATGCGTGCTGACATCCTGAACTTGGGGGTTGAGCACAACTCCCTGCTAAGGTTTGCACAGAGGGGCTGGAGCAAATGCAATGACCAACATTGCTGCTTTCAGTGGGAATTGTGTTCATTGTGCAAAGAGGGGATGGGATCTCCATTTCCTAATTCGACCTCCTTGGCCAAGGTCGTCTTTTCAATTGGTGTAAAGACCTTCAGCACCAACTAGTTCTGTGGCTGTGGTCCTGGCCACTGTGTGGCAGAAATGAATACAAGAAGCAGAGACTTGTATCCTAACTCTGTTAAGGGCCAGTCCTCCAGCACAGAAGAGAACAGAAGCCAGTTTGGAAGGAGTGAGGGGCCTCCAGCCTTGAGTCCTGGAGAGCCCAGGCACCCCAGAACCCCAAGGGGACATGCCTTGGGCTCTCTTAAAGGGCAGGAAAGAGGAAATAAATTGATCTGGCAGAGGGGATAAAACAAGAGCAGGAAGACACACTCCTCACCCCCACCTCCCTTTTTTTTTTAAAGCAGATCCTTCAGGGTCATCAAGAAAAGGAAGGAGGGAAGCTGGTTAATATTTCCACTTGGAAAAGGAGTTGATGGAGTACACATGAACTGAGTCTGTGAAAACCCCAAGGAGCAGGTCTTGGTTATATCCTCTTTAAGTCTCAGGACAAAGTTTAGGCTGTAATTTATTAAGTGAGTGATAAGTCAAAGAAAACATAAATGCTAGCATTTGATGAGCACTACACCTCAGCGTTAACCCAACAGTAAGAACCTGAGCCCCTAGAGCTTGCTTCTCTCTCTCCCACGCCCCCTGCTTGCGTTCCCTCTCTGTCAAATAAATAAATAAATAAAATCTTTAAAAAAAATTCTCTGTGGGAATCAGACACTTTGCCCCATCATCCCATACAGTCAGGGATCTCCCTCATGATCAGATTGGCTGCTGATCTCTCTCCTGACTGTCTTCTCCCTGTGCTCCACCATCTGCTTTGCCTTGACCTCTCCTAGCTCCACATCTCTGATACCCCTGGTCCTGGCATCCTGCCAGGAAAGGGAATTAATGTAGCCTGAGTTCACTGGGATCTCTTCTGTCACTTCTATGCACTGGTTTATTAGCTACTCAAAACCACAGCCCAGAGACAGATGTTCTCAGGAGTCTCCTTTTTCAGGTAAAGGGACAGATGTGTAGGGAGGTTAAGAAATTCCCCCTCAAGGCCCACAGTTAGTAAATAAAAGAACTGGGATGGGAGCCCAGGTCTCTAACTCCAAAGGCCACTGACATTTCACCCAGCAACCTCTGTCCTCCTCTGTGATCGTGGGGTGCAGATTTCACAAGACGGCATCAGACTACTATTTGTTGTGGGCTCTGGAAGATGAGAAAGTGTGGGTGTGTGTGTGGGGGGGGGGTGTGTGTGTCTGTGTGTGTGTGTGTGTGTTAGGGGTGTGGGGCAAGCAGAGGGGAAATAAGAGGGAGACTAGCAGAGCCAAACACAAATATCCTCCAAGAAGGGGACAGGGGTCTGTGCAGGAAGGCCCCACACCAGACCTGCTCCTCTGTGGAGATGGTGCTGGAGAAGGGCGGCCCCCTCAGCCTTTGGTAGACTTGCTTCCAGAAGCCTGCATGTCCGGGGCCTTCTCCATAGGAGTCCAGGGCTATGAGAAACACTGACTCATAGACCGTGGGGAAGTGTGTCACCTTCTGATTTGTCAATACCTCCTTCCAAAAGCTGTCCTAAAACACAATGAAATAAATGTCGCCATCGTAGGACATATCCCTGTTCAACAGAACTGCTTAAAGACAATGTCAAATTGAATCTCTTCCTCGTAATCCTCGGAAACACAATGACTCTGGAAGGCCTGCCACGCGTCCACATTTTCGAGCCAGCACTGAAGCAGCGGGACGGAAGCCAAATAAGACTAGTAAAGAATAAAAGCTTACCTGGGGTGTCAAGAAGCTAAGATGCAGAAAGCTTACCTTCGACCAAAGGGTGGCAAAAAGCTTGAAAAATTGAGGACTGTTAATTCTCAATTTTCTGCTTGTGGCTTCAGTGGTTTGTTAGGATTGTTATTATCTATATTACCACTATTATGAAATTAGTGCCCACTTACTGTATGTATCTATACATGCAGGTCTTTCCTGATTTCCCTACAGCTCCCTCCTGTCTGTTCCGAAAGGTACCCAACCGTTCTAGGCCTGTGCAGAGGAGTGTGTATGTGCATGTGTGTACATTTTATGTAAATAATATCACAGTATAATGCTGTTCTGTACCTTGATATTTTTCCCCATATAGGAAGCCTATATTGGGGATATTTTATAGAATGAATTTATGCTATTCCTTTTTTTAAAGTAGCGTGAATTCCATTGCATGGACGTTGTATGGTATGTTTCTAATTCTATAAGCTTTCTGTCACTGTAAGCCAGTTGGAATGTGATTGTCGAGGCTTGGGGAGAAAGTGACGAGGGGGTTGAAGGCTTCCCTGCCAGTACTAAGACCTGTCCCAGCCTCTCCTCATCTGGCTGCAGCAGGCAGAGGAGACAGAAGCGAAGAGAAAAGGTGGTCAGCAATAACCAAGGGAGGCAGGAGGACGTTCTGGGAAGGCTGGCATATGTTTAGAATTCCAGCTGGCTGCCCAGAGAAATCTGAGACACTTTGGGCAATCCAAAATACTTCTTGATAAAAAGATAAAAGAACTCCAGAATATTATTATACATTTTTCTTTACTCCCTTTTGCTCTGTTTCAGCTCATGATTATATAAAACAAGCTCACTTTATGGGGCACCCGGGTGGCTCAGTCCAGTAAGGGTCCAGCTCTTGGTTTCAGCTCAGGTCATGATCTCATGGGTCGTGGGATCAAGCCCCACCTTGGGCTCCCTGCTCAGCGGGGAATCTGCTTGAAGATTCTCTCCTGCTTCCCCTCCCCTCACTCGTGCTCTCTCAAATACATAAATAAAACTTTAAAAAAAAAAAATAAAACAAACCAAGTTCACTTTAGAAAGATAAATCTGCTATAAAAATTATACAGCGCGTCCATAGCTAAATGCATGCGGCATTTTTTAGAAGCCTGCGAGTGGGGTGTGCTGGTTAAATGGACAGACCCTGAGGCCAGCCTACTTGGGTTTGAATACTAGCTCTCCCTCCTCCTAGTCACATGGCCTCGGGCAAGTTATTTCTGCCCTCAGGGACTCAGTTTCCTCATCAATAAAATGAGGGCAATAAAAAGTACCTCCCCGTGGGGTGGTGTGAGCTAAGATGGGTTTCAGTATCTCAAGTGTTCACGGTGGGGCCTGGTACAAGTCAGCACTCCATAAGGCAGAGCTACTGGGGTGAAGGGTTCAGTCCCAGTGTCCAAAACACCCAGTGTGGAGGACCAGCTATGCCCCTGGGGAGCTCTGAGCTCTTGGGTAAGGTACCTTAGTTATCCGAGCCTCCGGCTGGTTCTTTGTCTGAAATGCTAATAACGTCTACCTTCCAAGGTTGTTGGAAATGAGGGCCACGATGGTGTAAATTGAGGCTGGAATATCTGCCTCATGGGTCTCTCAGAATGCTGAGTGCAACAGGACAAGTAATATGTGTACGTATAGGAACTTAGAGGAGGTATGTGGTACATTTTAGCCGTCCTGATCATTACCACATGAACCAAACCACTTAAGAATTGCCTAATGGAACCAGTATATTGGTCTTTCCAGGCCTTTGCTGGGGCTCCAACAGGGACCTCTCACTCACTATGCAGAAGAACTCTGGGTAAGTTCTTTGAGCTCCATTTCAGTGTCCCGATCATAAAATGAGGACCTAAGTGTACCTGGCTCATAAGGTAGTCGTGAGTATTCAGTGAGCTAATGCATCTGGCACATAGCAAGTGTTCCCTACTTGTTAACTCTTTTTTTTTTTTTAAGATTCTATTTATTTATTTGAGAGAGAGAGAGAGAGAGCAACAGAGAACGCGAGTGGGGGGAGGGGCAGAGGGAGAAGGAGAGAGAGAATCTCAAGCGGACTCCCCGCTGAGCACAGAGCCCAGTGTGGGGCTCGATCCCATGACTCTGAGATCACGACCTGAGCCAAAACCAAGAGTCGGACACTCAACTGACGGAGCCACCCAGGCGCCCCGACTTGTTACTTCTTACTGAGGGGGTCACTGAGGGTTTATCAGCACCCACCTCCAACCACTGCACAATAATGAAGACAAATTCTCCTGTGCTGAGTCCCAGGTTCTCTGCAGCCAGCAGAATAATTTTTGCATCCTCTGAGCTGCAGATTAGGATGATAACTAAGAAGAGAAAACAAAGTCAGTCACTGGCACATGCGCACACGCGCGCGCGCACACACACACACACACACACACTTTTTAAAAAAGTGTGACCTGAAGCCACTCCAAATGAGCAAATGAGACCTGAACTTTCTCTTTCCTTGAGCAAGCTTGAGGAAACAGGAATGCCTAAACCGTCCGCAGTGCGGACACTTCCTGAACCGCGTCCACAGTCCACCGGCTGGCGGCTTTCGCCCTGTAGCCCAAAAATCCTCACTGCGGGTCTGTCCCGAAGTGCAAGCCAACAAAACTGGTGGCCACTTCTGTGCTCTAGTTTCTTCATTTAATTCACTCAGAGCAACGGATCTGGCTTGTGACTCATCAGCCACACAGCAGTTAGGAGGAGTTCATAGATGACCCAGAATCAGGAGCATTCAGACCTTCTGAGGTTGGATGGGGGACGAGGAGGAGGGACAGGCCATCCGCTTTTCTTCCCTCCAAACACATCAGCATGCATTTTGAGGACACCCAGCTGAAGCAGTGACTTATTTTTTGAATGAGGTAAATGAGAGTCTGCTTATTTGAGTCCCAATTGTGTGTTGCAAAGGATACAGCAGTTGGTACGAGAGAAGACCTGTGCCCTCAGGAAGCTGACCGTCACACACAGCATACAAGTGAAGAGTTAAAATGACTTTGTTGTTGGTGATGCTTTGTGTATCATTAATTTTGCACCCCGTTTCTTTCTGCTTACATCCATGGAAAAATGAAGAGTTCTTTGGTTTTTTTCAAACAATCTGCTTTTCTTATTTGGCTCTCTAAACATAAGCAACAGAAGACTCTTTCCTACTTACTTCTGGCAGCCAATGACACGCTTCTAAGATTCTCTTGAAGGAAGGCTGGGTCACTTTTGGTGTATTTCACACTGACAGTGATAGTGAAATGGGTTTTGAGTCCATTCTCTACAACCTTCCACAATTCATCCACTCCATCCCAGGAGGAAGGCCCAGAGTGACCTCCAAACACCCCAATGTGTTTCCAGCCCAGGTACTGGAGACTTCTCTGGAGCACATCACCAATTTTGTGCCTGGGTGGCACAAGGGTCACATGGGTGTCATATAAGAAGTTGTCCTCCAGTTTTGCCATTTGTCCAGTGAAGTCAAACACAGGGATATTCCCCTCTGAGGCCAGCAAGCCAATAATCTTGAAAGGAACCAAAGGGATGTCTTTCCATAATTCAGTTTACACTACACTCAAACCCTATCATAAGGTATCTATGTAAACTTAGAATCTGGTAAGTCTATGGGTCATACTGGACCCTCTTTTTTGGAATATTGATGATAATGTTTTGGATCCATCTTGAGGATGCAAAACCTCAAAGGACAAGAATAACCACAGCAAGCATTTGTTGACTTATTTCTTCCTTATTCACTTCTCAATACTTTTCATTAGGAGCTTACTATTTACAACCAACTTTGGAGATCTTGCCCTTAAAGGAGCTTATGATCACTTATTACAGGAGCTAAGACATATAAAAATAGTTTCAGAGATGAATATACCCTTCCATATTTACAGGCTATAGACCTACAGGAGTTAAGAAAAGTAAAAAATTACTTCTGACTGGGGAATTAGGGATATGAGGGGTGAGGGCGGAGGAGTGAAGAAAGACTCCATGGCATTTGAACTTGACTTTGAAGAATGAGTAGGCTCTGGACAGCTAGAAACGTGTCAGAAGAAAAATTCCAGAAGAGACCAAGATCCAAGTTCAAGTGTGAACTTCATTTGATAGCAGCCACTAATGACAGTTATGCAGTATTTTGGAGAGTGAGGGCTATAATGCTCTTTCCTATTCCCACCTTGCACCCACACCTCTCAGAGGGCAAGATACCAAGGACTTCCACAAAGCTAATCCCATTAACTAAACAGATACAAGTCATTTGATTGTCTTCTTTGCTTGCCCCAGTTTATAGCAATCTGTCATACTTCACTCTTTCCCATTTTCTCTCAACATCACTGAATGATTTATCGCACACACCAAAGGGAAACCTACACAAACAAATGATGTTTTTCTGCTTGAAACAAAACATTCATTTTCTACTTAATTTTCCTGAGCCATGTGGCTGACAACATTCGAGTGAATAGTATGAGTCTACACACAACAGCACCATGTCCAAATAATCGACGAGTTTGTTAGTGAACATCTATCTACAAGTTAGTGAGTGAACTAACAATTATTGATTTGAAAGGCTTTCTTTCAAGAGAATATTACCTGTTCTAATTACATCTCAAAGAAATGGTACCCAAACCCTACATAGTTATTATTTATAATAATGTCATCCTTGCCAAGAGATTATTCAAGTCTGTCCCATCACCTTTAAAACCATCCCTTCCGATGAAAACCAGCCAAAGTTTTTAGAAGGCTATACTCTACCTCTGCTGCTTCTGGACATGCTGGTCCAAACAGGGCAGAAATCTGTTGTCTCTGGACCTGATTGGTGAGAATAGCAAGAGACTCCTTGATGCTGCAAGTTGAGTTGGTATAAGTGAATTCCCAGCTGAAGCTTCCGAGGTCCACTGTCTCTGAGTTGATCTTGTCCGTGGCAATCTGGAGGCCCACACCCAGCCTTTGCACACTGAATGGATGGGAGATGTTCCAGGGAACCTGGAAGCCCACAGCGAGGTTAGCAGCCTCAAGCCAAGTCACCAGCATACTAGTAAAGAGTGTCAGAATTAATGTTGGCTGGGCAGCATGACTTTCAACCCGCAAACAGAGCCCAGACCTGAGTGAGGCCTCAGCTCCTATCCTGGGAGCCGTAAATGGCATCTAACACCTGTATCACTGCAGAACTCAGAGGCTCAGCCTCCTGAACACTCATGCCAGGAGCTTAAATGATAGTACAGTTCCCTGAGGACCACAGCTTGCTTTCTGTTCAGTGCCATTAATTAACCAAAACCTTCCCTTCTCAGAGTCTGTCCTAACACATCTAGAAGCTGCAGTCTTGAAGAAAGAGGCTGGGGCAGGGAGTCAGCAAGACCCTGGTAATGGATCCAGTGACACCATTGACAAACTTCATGGTCCTGGGAAGGTCACATAATCCCCCTCCATCCTCCTAACCCCCAATCCCTCCTCACTAGTAAGGGAAAAATCAAGAGAACCACTCAAGTTGTAAGCAGATGGCCTGGGCTGAATTCTAACTCCACCACAAATTGTGTGGCCTGGGACATGTTACTTCCCTTCATTTCCTGATCCCTAAAATGGGGGTAAAACTGTAGAGGGATCTTCACCCAAGTGACATGGTGAGGATTGAAAGCGATCCAGTGCCTGGCACAACGCCCGGGGAAAGAACCATTTCATCCATGTTAGATGGTGGTGGTGGTGATGATGATGATAGTGATGGTTGATGATGTTGATATCATCATAATGATGATGATTATCACCTGCTGAATCCATCTTATAGGAAATTCTCCTAGATTAAGTGAGCTGATGGCTGTGAGGGGATTTAGTGACAGCTGGTACGGTCTGTACCCCTCACCCAGGCTTAGGGCCCCAAGGAGAGGTTACTGTGAGGATAAACACTCTCCCTCTACACAGCTCAGGGCAAAGCCAGAGACAATTCTTTGTTGATTAATTACATGTCAAGTATTACGTATGTAATATTTTACATATGAACTACTACTTTACATGAAGTATTACAGGGATGGCAGGCCCCTTGGAAAGCCATTGCTATCCCCAGGTAAGATGACCCAGCCACCAGCTGGGCAAAGGCTCTTCAGAATAAAGGGTTCAGTTTCCCCCTACCATGGGCTTTCTTCTGGATCCCACTGGCAGGGAAGTATCTAGCCTCCCCTACTCACCTCAGAATTATGTATTTCAGCACAGTAAACTTGCTATGGCTCTCAAAGCTTGACCTAAGGACCACCTACATCAGTCTCTCCTGATGGTCAGATGGATAGATTCAAGGGCCCCACTGCAGGGTCTTGGGTTTACCCGGGGGATCTGCATTTAACAGGCCTTCGTGTATCCCTACGTACGCTAAGGTTTGAGAACTTTTGAGACAGTCTAAAGTGAGAAGAGGGAAAGAACAGCCAATGACTATCCATCCTCTAGTTATGTTCCTTCAGTAGCAAGCTCCCCGCCCCCCACTCCAATGGGATTCCTGAGCTTTAGGTCTCGCCTACCTCAGAGGGCTATTTTCAAACCTGTGGATTAGAGGGGTTGGCTTTTCTCCAAACCAAACTCATCATAACTGGTTCTTCACTGAGCTACAGATTCTCTCGCTCTCCTCTGCTAGGACAGCTCAGTGTCAAACTGGCAAATCATCTGATTCTAGGCTCCCGTGCTCTAACCATAGTTCCATGGACCTTTTTGACTCAGATGGTTACCAGATGTATGTGGCCTTGGATAAGTCAGTTACACCTGTGCCCTGATTTCCTCAATTTCAAAATAACATGACAAACCCCCTCTCAGAAGAATGTTGTAAAGATATTGTGAGATTATATAATTCCTTAGCATGCTGCTTCCCATTTAGCGGGAACTCAATAAAGTTGCATCCTTGATGGGTATATCATTGCACTGGTCATAATGCCAAAGCAAGGATTCTAGAAACAATGTCTTATTACATGCTCTGCGTCACCCTCCTCCTCCCATTTACAAACTTCTTAAAACTTATACTCCCACTCTAGACAATTTTAGATTTTTTACATTTATAGGTTGTCTTTCTCTGAGAAACTTTGAGGCCAAGGTGACTGCGTGTGTCCCTCCTTGGGTCCTCAGATCCAGCACAGTGTTGGACCTTTAAACGTGCAAATTCATATTAATCATAATCAGTATGAGTACTTTTTGTATTCTTATTTTTTTTAAAGATTTTATTTACTTATTTGAGAGAGAGAGAGAGCATGAGCGGGGTTTGGGGCAAAGCGAGAAGGAGAGGTAGAAACATGGATGAGCTGAGCAGGGAGCCCGACGCAGGGCTCGATCCCAGCCCCTTGAGACCATGACCTGAGCCGAAGGAAGCCGCTTAACCAACTGAGCCACCCAGGCGCCCCAGGACTTTTTGTATCCGTAAGTACTTACACGTGGTTAAGGTCAAAACCGGAAGAAGATACCAGTGAGCTTCAGTGTTAGTGAGAGTTTAATAAACAGACATACACTGCTGATGGGAAAGGTAATTGATGGCAGTTTTTCAATATGCATCCAAGTCTTAGAATATATGCATTTTTGACTCAGAAATTCCAATTTGAGGGTTTTGACCTAAATAAAGAAGATTGTATGATAAAATTTAACTACAGTCAAAACTTAGCCACAAACCATATACCTGAAACGAATACAACACTGTATGGTAACTATACTGCAGTTAAAATAAAAATCTTAATTAAAAAAAATTAAACACAAACTTTATGTCCAATAATAGGGGGCTGGATAAATAAGCTGGCATGAATCCATGTGATTAAGGACTATGCAGTCATTCAAAATGATATTTTAAATGTACATTTATTGACTTGGAAAGATAGTCACAATGTTTTAAGTGAGGAAGCACACTGTAAAAACAACATGTACTGGGGCCCCTGGGTGGTGCAGTCAGCTGAGCATCCAACTCGATTTTGGCTCAGATCATGATCTCAGGGTCGTAGGATTGAGCCCCACGTTGGGCTCTGCATTCAGCACAGAGTCTGCTTAAGACTCTCTCTCCCTCTGCCCCTCCCCCCGCTCTCTCTGTCTCTGTCTCTCTCTTTAAGAAATAAATCTTTTTTTAAACAAGACATGTACAGTATTCCATTTTTATTTTCTTAAAAAGGCACATAGGCTTCATAGCAAAGATTTATATACACCAAACCACTAAAAGTTGTTCTCTCTGGATGATGGAAATTATATGGGTGGTTTCTTCTTCTCTTTACTTAATTTTCATGTTTTGTCTTACTGTCTGCGATGAAGAAGAAAAGTGAACATTTTAATTAATAATAAACCCCACAGACTTGCATTCGTGGAGTAAAAGCATGGGCTTTAACTCATGCTATCTGAATTCTCAGGTTAGGAGAACCTCACAGTGGTCTGAGTCCTCACACCTCTTAGGCACTTGGCTTACCTCTGTGGGCTCTAATTATCCTCTGCTGAACTCAGTCCCTTCCATTTCTCCATAGCCCTCAGAGGGGGAGAGTAACAGAGATGCAGTGGTCCAGGTGATGGCAATCATCGTCTGGAAAAGAGTTGCTATAGTTACACCCCCTCCCCCCCTCTGTGTGAAGTGCTTGATTGGCTGGAGTGGAAAGGCCTGAGGTTAAAAGCAGCTGAGGAGGCTCGGTAGGGACTTTGGTGGCCAGGAGGGGGCACACTGTTCTCCACTTTGCTTCTCCAGCCCTCCTCCCTTCTAGGAGATTCTTATGCCTGAAAGTTACCAGTGCCGTGGTGGTTGATGGGGGAGGCCACGTGGTTGCATCCGAGGATGGTTTGGAACAAAAGTAGCCTGTACGTGGCCAGCAGAGGTACAGAGTTTGGTTTCCTAGGTCAGTGGGGTAGTGCTCTGATTCATAACTACTTTAGCCCATCTCTGCTTTCTGAAGAGATTATTACAGAGGGAGAGTCCTTTCTGCCTCATTTATGACTTCCTCAATGCTGGCCCGCCTGTGCCATAAACTAGACACAGAGTCAGCTGCTCAGCATCCACGATCAGATAAACTGAGCTGAGCCAGGGTGGAAGGGCTTTAGTAAGAGCTCCGGCTTTTTTTCTAGCTGCCTTCCCCCCCTCCCCAACTGCTTCCCTCATCCCCAGTTGCCTCCCTTCGGCTTCTAAATCTGTGGCCTAATCGTGTTTAGAGAAAAGTAAAGGTTTGGAATGTGTGGAGTTGAACTTGTCCCGAAGCAGAAAAGGGTGTTGAAGTACAAGATGAGCCCATAATCACCTTGAGGGAAAGACAACCATCACCCTCGTCCTCACACAGTCTCTCGCATCTCATCCTGTGCTCTGGGAAAATGCATCAACCTCAGGTTTTGCCAAGGGGCTGGATTTGAGCCTCCATTTTCTTATTGACAAAGTGGAAAAATGGCAGGGGGCAGAGCCCTTTGACCTTACCAGCTCCTTGTCCTAAAACCCTAGGGCTCTGGTAGATTCAAAACTAACGAAGTATTCCATGTTTGGTGATGGCAGCAAGTTTCTTTCCAAGTCCTGTTTACAAGTTCCTAAAGGGAGCATCCCTGAAGATCTATCACACCTCGTACTAACCCTCCACTAAGTAAGAGCAAGTCAAAGGCAGCGATTACCTGTCCACATGTGAACTTCAAACTTCCCTGCTGTGTTCTCCACTCTTGCAAATAGTGGTGATGCGGCCAATGAATACAAAGCTTCTAGTAAGTAAATGTTTGAAGAGCCACAGGAAAGTGGAGTAAAGGTTGAACTTGCGTAAAGGCGGGAGATTGTGTTTCTTAGAACTGAAACAAAGCAGATTCCTTGGATCCAAAAGCCACTCCTTTAGGTGACCATGCAGATACTACTCCTAGAAGGCCAAGGATGGGGCACTGACCTTGGCTTTCTGATGAGGACACGCTGATCTTGTTTCTGAAAATGTTTACGCGAGGGGCCAACAATCCCTTTTCATGGGGACATGACCTCTTACGTACTTCAACACCTGATATCTATCCTGGGAGCCTAAAATACTCTCCCACCGGCCTATGATGTGTTGCTCTTTCTCACACCTGTTTCCACCAGGAATGAGTCTTTGCCACCTGAACGGTGCTTCTCATCATCTAGGGATCCTAATATAGACTTTCAAGTTTTCTTCTGGCTACAGGTATAATCTGAAGTTTAGCAAGTTGGTCCAGCCTGAACGCCA